CGTTAGATTTTTAGGCATGCTATGTTCTCAAATATAATATTAATGTTTCTCTGTCTATCTCATTAGGTTGGCTGTATAATAATATACACTACTTTTTTTTGTTTGCGTTGTTATCCCAATAATAATTCATATTTTCATACGTATTTTTAAAATAGAAAAAAAAATCATTTTCAAACCAACCAAGTTCTGATCAGCGAAATTCACAATGCAATGTATCACGTGCATAATCTAAACTTAAAAACTAAAGAGAATGATCAGCAACTGAGAAAATCATGGCATGAAGCTATTTCCAAATCTCATGGCAGTCTAAGATCTTGAATCAATCAGAATTCTCATGAGAGATTTTCCTAAAATAGAACTATTGAACTCAAACCTTACGTGGACATTCAACATGTTGTATGTTTGGTAAAGGTATATGTCATTCTAAGTTAGTGAGAACAGATATTATACTACTTAAAATAGAGAATTTGACTTCTATAAAAGAACATGAATGATATTGTTTCAACGAAAAGATATATACTGAAAAGTGTGTATACCTTTTCTATATATATCACATTGATGTTAAAATAAATATTTCTAAAATCACAAAAAGATTAAGAAAAAACAATAGATGAGGTTCAGTTTGGGTAGTGAAGCCTAACCTAAGGTCCTTAAAATAGGATTTGTTTGGTGGTGAATAATATAAATGCTGTGCAACAATGAGAGTGAGAGGTGCTTAAATATGGTAAAAAAATAACTTCTTGAAGTAGGATCTTCAACAACTTTCATCTCTTTCTCTTCTTCTTTTACAATCATATCATTACTTTTTCATGAAAAATCTCTCCTACCATATAAAAAAAAGTTCGTGTAACCTCAACTTGATGAAGCAAACACCATAAAAAAAAAGAGATAAGTTGGCTCCCCTAAAATATACATTGTTATTGGTTAAATGGAAAAGATATAATTTGTGTGTGTTTTTATGTTTTATTTATAGAGATTAATGGAGTTGACAATCATTTCTAGCAAACTAAAGCCACTGTAAAAGAAAAAAACCTACTAGTAACAGGATAAAGTATCTTAAGAAATCAAAGTTAGAAGGGAGGAGTTAAAAGAAATATATATTACTATTCTTTATTTTTTTTAAAAATGAAATAAATAAAATGATAAAATATATCATAAGTTTAATGTTGCAATAATTAGGGATGATAAAAATACTCATGTTTGTGGTTTTCCGGATAGTTGGTATCCATATATATTTATTATCCGTAGATAATGAGTAATAGATATTTTATTATACATTTATAAATAGATCGAGTACGAGTATCATACTATATGTATCCACATATATCTACTATCGATAAAAAATAAAATAAGATTTTAATTTATATTTTATTAAGTTAAATTAAATTTAATCTATATTTTATTAAGTTAATTTAATTCATATTATATTTTATATTTTTTTGTAATTTTATTTAGATTTTATTTTAAAAATTTATAAAATATCTATTTATTTTTAAATATTCACATATATCTATAAATACGAACAAATTTTAATATCTATGTATATTTTTTAAACAGATATCCAACAAGTAATAAGTTAATTTTTTTATTACAATCAGATAGTGAGTAGACACTGCCCTGTACTCAATCTATTGTCATCGTAAGAATAATAATTTGTTTATTTTTAAGAACACTATACTCTCTTACTTCAAAGTAAAGTAGACATAATATCTTTCTTCTTCACTTTTTTTCCTTTAAATAGTGTGGTTATTGATACTTACTTAATACTTAATACGTGTGGATTAGGTTACTTAGGACTTTTGGGTTCAATGGTGAGAAAAAGGAGAGGGAGGACAAATTTTTTAATTACATGTTATGTTTGGTTAAGAAGAGAGAAGGCAATAATAGTTATGTTAATTGATATTCTCATTAGAATGTTTTAAAAGAAAAAGTAAAAATATATAGCAAAATATTTCATATTTTTTCCATTATTAATAAATAAAAGTTATAATTGTAAAAAATTTAAAATTTAAATATTTAAAATAGGGTTTTTTTTTTCTTTCTGCACTTATGTAGTGTTTTTTTAGTGAAAAATATTAAAAATATTTCTTTATACGGTTTTGTGCGAAAGACTCAAATGATCAGGAAAGTTTTTGGGTTGTAAAATTTGGATATTGTATTTTGGATCATATTATACAATATTTTGAATTACAAAATCAAAATATATATTATTTATTTATTTTTTATTTATTTTTTATTGGACTAATTCAAATTAATAATTTTTTTACCTCTTGATTGGCCAATCTAAAAGTTTAGTTTTTATCAAAGTTTCCCGATTGTATTATTTAGAATGTTATTTTAAATTCTAAAATACACAATTAAAGAAATACTAAATTTACATATTCTCTTAAGGATAATCTAGAAGACTTACGGATTGGTCAATTTAAAAGACTTTGAGATCTTACAATTAAGAAAGAAAAAAAACACTCCAAATCAAAGACCCATACAAACAACAAAGGATCAAATGAAAAATTTCAAAAAGGTGTAGAAAGAAATTCAAGGGTGCAGAAAAAAGTTTCCAAATTTTCCTATTCTAAATAGTATAGGAAGCCGAAAGCCCAAAGATCGAAAATCCTACGTAAATAGGGATGCAATTTAATAGCCATGTTTGTCTCATTTAGTTTAGGGTGTTGCTCCCTCCACCTCCACAACCTTCTCCCTCCACCTCCCCAATTATCTTTAATTCCAATTATATCCTTAAAGTTAAAATTTTTTATTTTTATTATTTTATTATTTTAATATTTTAATATTTAAATATAAACTAATATAAATATACATTATTAAAATACATTAAAAAGATATTCAAAAATAATAAATCAAAATATTAAAATATCTAATAAAATAATAACAGAAACATAAAATTAAAACAAAGCTTAAACGGATGACATCCTTCAACGGATGTCAACATCCGTTTAAGGCGAAACGGATGTCGACATCCGTTTTGCCTTAAACGGATGTTGACATCCGTTGAAGGATGTCATCCGTTTAGGCTTCGTTTTCATTTTACGTTTTAGGGTTAAAGGATTATTGGAAAGATTATTGGAAGGATTATTGGAAGGGTTTAGGGTTTAGGGTTTAGGGTTTAGGATTATTGGAAGGATTATGACTACGTACCTGGAGAGGAACCACGACAAGCACATTACACCACAAACGCACTGCACCACGTACTGCACCGAAAGCAAGAGGAAGATTGCTTGATAATTCTTTTCACGATCACTGAGCTTTGCAGAAAAATATTTTACTCATACAAGGAACTACGTAGGTTATCAGTGAAATATGTTATAAATGAATAAAATTAAAAAACAACAATTTTAAAATAAAATTTTACTGAGGGGCAAAATAGTAAAGTAAAATTTGACTGAGGGGCAAAATAGTAAAGGGGAGGTGGAGGGAGAAGGCTGTGGTGGTGGAGGGAGCAACACCCTTTAGTTTAACAAATGATAATTAATTAAAATTTAATGAATGGAAACTGTAGAATACTGAAGATGTATAAAAAATAACCCTTTTTTTTATTTATTTAATAAATTATTATGTAATTTTTTATAATTTATTTTAATTTATTATATAACGTCACAGATAGCACTGCCTAACAAGATTCTTAATAAATATATCTTTCTCTCTTTTTTTAATATATTTTGTCAATACTTCTAATTCAATCTCAATTTTAAATTATTTTCACTGCTTTCTATAAACAATTTTACAGTCACTCTCATTTTCCTACTACTTAAGCTCACCCTCGCTAAAAAAGAAATCGAGTTAGAAATTATTTTTAATGCAATTTGTGTGATACTTTTACATCATATTTCCTAAACATTTTTTTTTCAAATTTATTTTTATTCAAAAGAAAAGACTTTTACTTTGATAAAAAAATATTTTAATCATTATTACCACTAATACATGTTATTAGAGTCAAAACTTATTATTATTATTATTATTATTATGACTATTATTTTTCTTGTCATTATTATTAGTACAAGTCTTTACCTCCATAATTGCTAAAATCGTTACTACTACTATCTTGTTATTATTGACATTGTTATCATATCAAGTACATTTCCATTATTGTTATTATTGGAGTCCATATCTAAAATTACTATTATCTATGTCTATTAACATTATCACTATTTCATCATCCTTTCTAGGTTGAAAAAATTGCATATAGCATAAATTATATTTTAGATTATAATAATTTGATTAAAATAATCTAATAAAAAAGAAGTTGATTTAACTTCAAGAGAATCCGCTAAATTTTGAAAATAATAATAAATAAATCATTAATCATCATAAATTTAAAATTGGTAGTAACTTTTGAAAATTTTGAACATACACCAAAAAACATCCCAAACAAGATTTAACATAAACAAGTTAATTATTTGACAGTATTTTATCAATACTATAAATTTAAGACTAATATAATACATTGGTATAATTTTAATCTGTTTTCATAAGATTTGTCAATAAATATATACATATTTAAAATGATTTTTGATAAAAAAAAAAAATAGCTGTAGAAGAAATCCGTGAAGGGAAAAGCAATACAGCAGTTAATAGACAAGAAGCATGAGGCATGTAAATGTGATGTTATATGTTACATGTGACACATGTGGTGTTGGCATAAGGCTTCGGTGTGGGGCAACTTGCAAGAGCAAACTTGTCTGTCTAAGTGCTGCGGTGTTCAGTTTGTGCCCACAACACACACTCACTGCGGTTGTTGTTGATGTAAACGAGGTTTTTATTTTAACGCTATCATATCATCCATCATCTCTTCTCCTTGTTTTTTTCTCCATCATTTCAGGGCCTTTCTTCGCTCCTCATATTCCATTCTTTCTTTTTCCCCTCAAAATATCTCTTTTCCTCTCAACCCCAACAAAATTCCAAACATTCCCCTCTCCTTTTCACGTCACTTACCACAACTGGGATGCTCCTCTTTCTCAAGGTGAGATCGCATTTCTGGGTTCTTCAAAAGTTTCCTTCTTTTCGCTTCTGGGTCTGATGGGTCTGTTCGATTCAGCCTTCAACTCTGTAATTTAAATTGTACAACTCAACCTATTATATATACATATTTATTTATACTGGGTCGTGTTATTTTATTGGAAGGCGAAGAAGACTTATTGATATTGACTTGGCTCTTGGGATTCCCACTACTAGGGTGGTTAGGTGCTTGTTTGTGTTGTGTTGTGTGTGTCACTGTGTCCTCCTCTGTACCCTCTTGATTTCATTGGTAACAGTAAAAGCAAAAGGTTCTTTCTTGTGGAAAAGGGTCCCTTGCTTTAGGGCTGTGAGAGAGAAAAAAGTATTTCTTCTTGATGATGTCTTTTGATGGGTCTCTGGAATCTTATGCAAACCCTTCCTTCCATTTTGGTTGCTTGCTTAGGAGATAGAGGAATGAATAGGGAAAAGTATGCTTGTTGTTGATCATTGTGTTTCCCAAAATTCCTGTTCCAACTGGATCAACTTTTTAAATTCCTTTTCTCCTCTGCAGTCAGGTAGATTAAGCATCCTATTCCTATCTGATTGTCTCTTGTATTTTAATTTTGTAAGAATTCTCACACCCTTTTGTCTCTTTTTCTTCTTCATGTATTGATCGGGGTTTTAAGTTTTGGCTTTTCATTCACTTGTTATAGTTATTTTTTGCAGGGTTATTTGTTAACTGAATCCTTGGTTTAATTGAGATGGACGGTGATATATTTGGAGAGCTAGGCAATTCAACACAAGTAGATAGCCGGCTTTTACAGGTATTTCAGAAGAGCTTATTGCAAGCTCAAGACATTTTGAATCAGAACCGGTTGCTGATCAATGAGATAAACCAAAACCAGGAGTCCAAGATGCCTGATAATCTAAGTAGAAATGTGGGTTTGATCAGAGAACTCAATAGCAATATCAGAAGGGTGGTTGATCTCTATGCTGATCTTTCTAACTCCTTTACCAAGTCCAGAGAAGCTTCTTCTGAAGGGGACTCCAGTGGGACTTTGAAGTCTGATGGAAAAGTCAACCAGAAGAGAATTAGATCCAGCTAATTGATTGAATTTGATCTTTCTTGTAATCAACAAGTTTATTCTGATTCTGGAAGGAATTTGTTCGGTAGAACTGAGTAACATCCTCTAAAGTTATTTTTGTGCCAAGTCTTCCATATTGGGTTTATGTTTAGAGGGCCAGAGATTTAGTTAATCATTTGATCTATGAAAGTAGCATCAATTTGAGGACCATACAATTGTGATTTTGTGTAACTCTGTTAACTTGGTGAAATGAAGCATGTTCACGGACCATTTAGTCAAGTTTCCCAGCTTGAACTTTTTAGATCTCACTGATATTGATATTTAGTGGTAAATTTTGGAGTATTATTCATTTGTTCTGCATGTTAATCGTTTGATGAGTTGCTGGTACTTGATTTCCTCGTGGATATTTGATACCTGAGATCCAATTACTAATTTACTGCTTGATTAATGTCATCGTATGTTGATGATTGTGGTCTTTAACCAACACACTGCAAGGATTAAAATCTAGAAATTTTGTGGTGATCTTTTATCACTTCATAATGATTTGCTCATTTGTTCTCCTCAGATTCATCATGTCTGGAGAAGCAAGAGCATGTTCAATAGTATTAATGAATAACAACTTTTTGAGATGTTTGGTGGTGTGGAAAGAAAGCCACCATAGATGATTTACTGGATTCTGTTCACAAACAAGACTAAGACTAGCCTTTGTTCCTAATCACATGAAATATTATTGGAATTCTTCTACAGGAACACTTTTGGGTTTTGGGTGGACTTATGATGTTATTGACATAATGGTTGCAGTATGAATACTAGAATAAGCAAATGTGGCATTCTACCAAACATGAAAAAGTAGCAATAATTAACTTGAAAGTCTTCCTTCGGAGGCTCATCTGATCCTGAGAGCTTAGGATCCATCCACACAAGATCTTTTTTAGATAAAGAGCTTTATGACAGAGAGTTAAAGAAAGAACTTTAATGTAATTCAAATAAGATTTTAATTCTCTTTAGTCTTAGTCTTTATCATCCCTCTGATTCAAGTATATCAGATTTTCTTTTATTTCATTATTATCTTTAGTTACTAAAATAAAAGGAATAGTTAAAGCATACATTCTTACTTTTTTTTGTTTTAAAAACTATCATCTAGACAAATGCACTGTAATCAACAATCAACTTTTCATTTAAAATTTAACATATTTTGAAAGAAGAAACAGTTAAAAGATTATTATTTTTTCATTCTCTTATTTTGTTTGTCTGTTTCTATTCAAATATTCAGATAAAACTGTAGAAAATGGAACAGTATTTTAAACGGATGACTAATAATAAACATGTGACAGTAGGATGTAAACTTTCTCAGACCAGACATTCAAACTTAGGAGTAACATATTGATATCTCATGTCAAATGACAGGTCTCACAATCAATGGCAGAGCATTTTCTTTTTCCCTTTTGTTTGTCTACTTCAAAAGAAACCAGATTTTGTATTGAAACTAGTTTTACCTTTCTAAATAACATTCATTATTTTTATTTTTCTTATTTATAATAATTATGTAATACATTTATGTATTAGAAATATAATTAAAAAGAAAAAAAAATTGAGTATTATACTTTTTAAGCAGATAATAGAACAGAAGCCAAACCTCAATTGTTTTTATTATCATCCTTTTATTACAAAGAAATGTTTACCTCAATATAAACATTGACCTTTGTTATACAGATTGTGAAGATAAATTTATAATTTTAATTAAAACAATTTTAAAAATAATTGTGTAGGTAGGGTCTAATAACTTAAAGTTGTAGTGTGGTCAAAAAAATACTCATATAGTATTAGTATTTGTTAAAAAAGAAAACTAAAATTCATTCTATTTTCAGACTACCAACAACTTCAGAGTTTTGTGCTTGTTGTTGCCTGCATTAATCTGTATCTTTTACTAAAATATAAAAAATAATTTTCCCAAATTTAGAAAACAGGCTTAATGTTCTATATGAAGCTAATGATCCATCTAGTAATACACGAATAAAATTTATCCCAACAAAAATTTGTGTATATATTTTGTTCTGATTGTTATAATTTACATATCAATATATCTGAGCAATAAGTCGTGTACATAATCATATTTAGATAAAATTGGGACACAGAAAATTAAACTTAAGTAAAATAAAAATTTGTAGATAAATTTTAAAAAAATGTTTTACAGAACTTTGAGATATAAGAGAAATATTTTTTAATAATTTGGAAACTTCAAGATTTTAAAATTCAAAATAATCAACACAAACGTATGAAAAGTCTCTTTCAATTAGGTAGCTTAAATCTGTATAACATTAAATTATTTAAAGATTTAAAGAAAAGGAGTGGTTAAAATTTGACCAATAAATTTGGAGTAGATTTTTTGCATTATTAAAACTTTAATATTTGACTTTATTGTTAGATTCCTTGCAAGTTGTTTTGAACAATTTCTTGCTCTTGCTTTTAGTTTTATTTTTCTGTTATTAGCTTTTTGCTCTAATTAAAATTGACTTTTAAGAGGTTGTAAAGAGCTTACATCCTCAAAATTTCAAACTTATTTTAAAACTTAAATAAGATTGCAATGCACTTTTATTATTAATTAAATATTCTATAAATATCATTTCATTATTTTCAAATAGTTATTAGAATTTGGTTATACTTTTTCATCTTTTTAAATACTATATTGAGGCGACTTCTTTCGATTTTTCTTCTATTCTTTGCTAGTGTAATTAAAATTAGATGATAAAAAAAAATCGTATATAGTAAAATTTGTGACAGATATTAAATAATGATTGGTGATATTTAATTACTGTGGATAAAAGATTACATTCTTTAATTTCCCCAAATTTCATACATGATGTCTTCTTTAAGAGTTACTTTTGATAATATAACATTTGTAATTGGACATTGTTGTCCAATATAAGTTACAACAATTTTTATAATATATTTGTAATATATATTATACATTTTTATTAAGAATTACAAAAATATTTAATAGACTTGAAACCCTTTCTATAAATATATTTGCATCCATTACAAAATTTTGAATTATGGTATATAATAGAGTTACTACAATCTATTTTAACACTAATTATTTTTCTTCTAGGTAAATTATACCACCAACTTTTTAATTGATCCATGAAATATTACACTTATGATTGTATATACTTGAGAACTTAGAAATTAATCAAGAACAAATGATTTTATGGGATAAGTTAGTAATTTTTTTTATTATTAGAATTGAGCCAAAAATAGAAAGTAACATTTACTAGGTCTTCTTCACACATTGTACATAAAATTGTACAAAATAAATTTTGTACAAAATTTATTTTTACGATTTTTTTTTCACACATAGAGTAAACTTATATTGGTACAAAATTTATAGGTAAAAGTTGTAAAGTTAATTATATCTAAAGGAACATCATCGTATTGGTTTGTGTGAGATGTATTGATAAAATAAGATTATTACAACTCTATTAATCCTTAAAATCAAATAGAGAAAAAATGTTAGTTGTAAGAGTCGATGAAATTCTTATAAAGTATTTGCAATAGTCAAACTCATTAGAAGTAGAATTTACTCTTTAGTCAATAGAGATTATGAATCGTAAATATTGTTTTGTATAGACAATGCTATGAATTTAATATTAATGATAACAAATAATAAGTTTGGATGATGACTATGTGTGATTTATTATTGTTGATATATTATGACGTTGAATTTTCATAAGAGTATAACGTAGGTACACGAGTAGCTTGGACAATAGACTTATGTGACAGTAGATTTGTTTTGTAAGTAAGAGCAGAATTCATCAATAAATGTGGAATTTTTTTTGTTATCTTTGCATTTCATTTAATAGTAAATTCAACATCACTCCTAAATCTTATGGCTTAAAGCTATTTTGGGAAAAATAGTTTAGTTTATATATTGGTTTTAAGGGGACATAATATCATATTTAATTTTTAAAACCTCAATATATCTATGCAATTTTTTTCTATTTTAATTAACTTTGGACATAAGGTCTAAAACATTATTCGAATAATTTAGTTATTGATTCACGTTTTTTTTTATTACAACTTTTTCTTCACCACCTAAATCTTTAAAAGGTTGTTCCTACTACTAAATATTTCACAAATAATTTTTCTTAAAGGATTATATTTTTTTATTTTATTTTATAAACGATAACATTTCTGTAATTTTATTGTTCAGAGTTTACCAAAATGTTATTTTTTTTTCTAAAATTATTCTTTTCTATTATTAATAGGTAGATTACATTATTTATTGTACAACAATCTAAAAAACCAGTCAAAGAATATGTTAGGTTTCTTATCTTTATAAGTCTTAAGATTAAGAAAAACTAACTATAATGTCCATTTTACTAAGCTAGAAAGTCCATTTTACTAGTCTCTTCAAGGGTTTCATTTTTCTCTTTGTTTTTATTTAACAAACCATAGTTCCTCGAACTTGACTCATTTTGCCATCCTTATGACTAACTTTCTTAGGCACTTGAACTCTATATTTTATTACATTTACTTCGTTTATTTAAGGTAACTTAAAATTATAATTAATCTTATATACGTAATAGTAAATTAATGTATACTTTCATCTAAAGTTTCATAAAAATATTTTATAATTAATTTTATCTTAAATGTTATCACGTATTAATTATTAAACTGAAACTTCAGATCTCATCAGAAAATAACACCAACAGTACCTATAGTCCTACATCTAATTATTATCCATAATCAAAACAATGCAAAAATTGTTAAGATGCAGTGCCCGTTTCCTTTACTTTCTGCTTCTCTTCAAGTCATAGACGCACACTTCATAATAGACAAAAACTATTTTTTCAGGGGAGGGGTGGTGTTACAACACTTGGGTGGCAAAAAACATAGGAAAATTCAACCCTATGTTGGAAGAGCTATCACCTTTGATTTGGATGTATCATCAACTCTGGTCATTTTTCCCATCCACCAGGCAAATCAATGAAATCACAGGTAGTCTCACATAACACATTATGTCTTCAGTGGTGCCTTCTTCTCTCTGTCAGATATCCGAGCAGGTGCATTGGAATGTGATTTAAATCTTCCCCTTCCTCCCTCCTCCTTTTCCTGAACAATACATAGATACACGCATATTATGTACTTACACATACAGACACACATATACATATTATAATGTCACATTTAATCTCTCAACAACACAGATATACAGGTGTTTAGCGAGTAGCAATAACAGAATTTGAACAATGTTGAAGCATCAGTAAGACAGCAGACAACAAGATGAAGGGTGGCTTTTCTTACCTTTTTCTTAACAATTTGAACCACATCTTCGTCACGAAGATTATGACTAAGACCGCAATGTTGTGGGTAGTGTCTTGCACTAGCACCCCAGACCAGAACATATTTGACATCCTTCACCAAACTTCTGTGAATATGGTTGCAAAAATCTTCTACAGTGCAGCCTCCTCTATCCTAAAACATATTTTGCCAGAGAAAGTGATATCTCTATGATAGATTGTAGGATTAAAAAACATAGGAGCCAAAGGTTTTCAAGCTAGTTTAAATAGAATAAGGGACAGATAAAGATAATGCAACATACAGCAGAAAGAACCACAGGATCAGAGAAATCTGGTTGCTGGCCTTGTGGTTTTGTGTAAACTCTAACCAGACCCATTTCGTCCCACATCCTTGCAAGTAGTCTGTCTAAGTTCAGCTGAGAAAAAATAAATTGTGTTAGAAATATTGAAAGGGAGAAAAAGAAAATAAAAACGGAATTGCTAAATCCTTATGGTATCTCATTCTTCTTCAGACAGTGAAAATGTTAACCCACCTTCAAATTGCAGCTAATGACAACAGAATTGGGTTGTCGAGCTAGTCTGTCCACATCATCAATACCAATGACGTCTATCTTGTTGTACACATATACACACTTCATGTATTTTCGGTTTCCTTCAATGACATCTATGAGATCATCTACTGTAGCATCCTCACGGAAAAGGATCTGAAAGTCAAATTGTCAGTTAACTCCCTTTACATACGTTGGTAATAGAAATCCAATATCAATGAAATTATAGTAAATGTGGTAATTCACCAAAAAAAAATAGTAATGGAAATTACAAAATTATCAGCACGGTGAGATTCCATCAGTGATATAAGTCAGTTAATCAAGACTAGCCTACACAATCTGATAATTACAACTGCATATGATCATATTGTTCCATGATTACAGGTCCGCAGAAGGAATTGCATACTTTAAAGTTTGAGGTATACCTCTGCATTGTGAATCTTGTACTCATGCAGGATCTGATAACACAGCTTCTCATCGACATGAGTCAAAGGCAAAGTGCTATTGAATGAAATGCCTCCCGTCTTTTTCTTTTTAAAATATATCTTCCAAGAAACATAAAGCTCCAAATTAATGAGAAAGTGATGACAAAAACATAAAAATCCAACTTGGTCCTATATGCTGTATATAATACATGTTTCATGACACATTCCAACATATTGGCACACAATCTTACCTGAGGTGGTCTCTTGTTTAATCGCAAGCCTACTGCTTCCAGCTCTTTGGTCAATATTTGCCTATGACCCTCACTCTGACACATTGGAAACACAAATAAAAGGTCATGGCTTGAAAATTGAAAGTTCTGAATTTCAAATTTAAACATAATTAATCTATCTAAACGTGACCGAATCAATTTTGCATGCAACATTAATTTATAGTGAGTAGACACACGCGCATTGTGGTATGCTGCTGTACCCTTTGCATGGTAGGAGGCCTTTTACAGGAATGAGAAGAAAAGAAAAAAATTGAAAATATGTAGAACTCGCATTTATTATTCACTCCGTGGAACACAAGGTAGGAAACACTATGCATTATTATGTGACGTAATAGGATGGCAGAGAATTGCTAGTGAATATATATATACAAAGAAAAAATAAAAGTGGCAGTGCCAGTGAGCAAAATTGTATAATGAAAAAAGCAACTAGCTTAGTTCTCGGAGAACCTGTTGGGTATTTTAAATGATAATGTTTGAGCTAACACATTCCTAGCTACTTAGTATCTGTAGCTGAAATAATAGTTTGCTGCATTGACCCACATATCATTTTATCAACTAGAAATACTAACGACATAAAGAGAGAAAGACTGCACTAGAAAATGTAAAACGACACTTACTTTGGAAGCATCAAGAACCATCAGCACTATGTCTGAAGATTTAGCAACAGCAATAACCTGAGAGCACATTCAGAAAACAAAAATCCTACAATGTTAATAACAAGCCAAACAATAAGTGAAAAGAACGTAAAGTCATTATATAAATTTGAAGTGTAACTCAATTCAGTAGAAACATTTTGCGAGATGAGAACTGCCTGAGTATTACAAACACTACTTTAGTCATATCTCTGGTTAATGTATGTTGGGATTTTCAGAATTTTTGGAAATATGAGAGATATAAGAACCATTGTATTATGTTATAGAAAATTATGGGCTTTGTATGGACGGGTTAACCTTTTCGTGACAATGGTATTAGAGCCTTGCAATGAACCCAACTTACCGAGTTCAAACTTTGGGAACCTACTCCTACGATTGGGGGAGTCCTAAATTCAACAAGCTGCCAGGTGTCAGCTTCTGAAGGAAAGACGTTTGTTATAGGAAATTTTGGACCTTGTATGGACAGATTAACCTTTTTGTAAAACATATTAAGTATAGTACGATTAACAATACAAATAGAACGATATGATTCAGCTACTCCGCAATATGAATTGTGGAATGAATCGTTTTTGCTCCCAAATCTTGCTTGAATCGATACAAGTGTGAATCGCACGAATCATGATTCGATTCGCAATATTGGTCAATATGGGTTTTTAAACCAGGCCAGGTTGGCCAGCCCAATTTGAAACCCTAATTTTCCCCCCTTTGTTTTTCCGCGCCCTTGTAACCGACTAAGGTTCATCTCTCTTTGAATCACGTTTCTCCTCTCTTGTCTCCCATCTCTCATTTTGCACACGCCAATGATTATCTGTTCATTTGTTCGCTGCGTTCATGCATCTCGCGTATGAAGTGCAGTGGTGGTTGCACGGTGGTGCAATGGTGGTGCAGTGGTTCTCTGTTCCGTGCAGGGAGGTTTCTCACGTTTTTGTGCAATGTTTTAGCTTTGTGTTGGTTATGCATTTGCTTCAAACATGGGTAAATCAAAAAGAGAGGTTGATATTACTTGGAACTATTTTGAAAGTATTCCACCAAATAGACTACAAGTTAAAGGCATCTTATGCAGCAACCACATTTTTTTTAAGGCTGTGTTGCTGAAATTGTGAAACTATGTGGTAAATACACATACATACAACCACTCTATTTGACTATGAGGTTGTTTGGTCATTAATTGTCTCTTTGCATATTTATATATCTTATATATTTAAGTATATGTTACATTTTTTTTAATATTTATAAAATGTTTATGAATAGTACGATTCACAATACAATTCAAAATTTAAGCTCTCCGATGCGGGATATGATTCGGAATCCGACTACCATGATAAGAAATATGTTATATAGAGGAACTTGTTATTCATGTACTATATAACCACCAGTCACCATCTCAGAAGTTGGTACCATAAAATGCTTCACCCAGCCTTTTGATCAACCACCCTCCACAGGTAGCATTTTTTGAGACATGGACAGCCAACTTTAATGGGCCACAATTAAGGAAGGTTAGGGGTGACTGCAATCAAGGGAACTTTCCAACATACACCCAAGGCGATAGACCTAAAGTGTGACATTAGATCTAAAGACAAGCTTTGATATCATCTTTAGATTAAGGACTATGTGTGTAATTCAACCCCACACAATTAATTGGCTTGTAATGTCAGGATAACCCAAGCCTTATAAACACTATAATAGCCATATCTCTTAATGTGGGATCTCAACCCCCTAGAGCTAACGTTTTGATGTTGCAATTTCCTATGCTTCATTAAACCTTTCTTGACAGAGACTTTGTAGGTAATCCTTCCCTATACACTGGCAACCAATTCTAATAGGCTGCAAAAAAGTATACTCGGGGGTAATAGCAATTAAGACAACTCTCCAACACATCACATTCTGCTAAATAGACACTAGATACTTCGGTTTGCTGCCTTGGGAAATCTAACGGCAACACTATATGCATGTTGATTACCAATGAAAGGAAAAAAGAAAAAAATAAAACACTACCATATCCCTGGAATGATAGAAAACAGCAATATTAGTTTTACCTGTCTCCCTCGTCCCTTGCCTTCAGAAGCACCTTCAATAATTCCAGGAAGATCGAGTAACTGAATTTTAGTATCATTATAGTGTATAATCCCAGGAATACAGGTCAGAGTTGTGAACTCATAAGATGCAGCTTCAGAGTGTGTGCCCGTTAACATTGTCAAAAGAGTAGACTTCCCCACACTGGAGTACGGAAAGGTAAAAAATGGAAAGGGTTAGCACTAAGCAGTTTAACTAACCTAAATAAAGTGTAAGCAGATGCCTAAAACACGTATACACCCATCCAAATTATAATCATTCAAGGAAATGTAGCCCAATGCCAACTATATTCAACTAGATAATGGTAGTAAATAAAATAAAATACATCAATTAGTAAAACTAAAGGCAAAGGGATATTTTAGAAGGAAAACCTTGGAAATCCTATCAGCGCAACACGTCCATGGCCAAATTTTGTAACTTCAAATCCTTCTCCGCCTCCACTAGAACCCTATCACAGAATTTGATAATAAGATAGTATACCACAACTTACAAAAAATATTTACCAAGGAATAGCAAGCTGTGGCAGACACGACCATAAACCTAGGTATTTCGAAATACATAAATAAGAGATTCACTAACCAGATCCCAATTAAACGATTCACTAACCAGGTTCCTAGTACAATAGTTATCATAAATCACAGTTGGTTAACATTGGAAGGAAGGGTACGTTTGAGTAAACTTTTTTATAAACACTTCTAAAAGAAAAAACTAAAAAGGAAAAACGAAATAAATATCTTCATAGGCTAAAACTAATGCAAAACTTAATCTGTAGAAACTCTCTCATAGCTTCTCCAGAAGTCTGATTATTAACTTATACATAGGAAAATTTTAACTTGTGGAGAAGTCTATTTCATTTATTTTCATATTTCCTCCTACTACAAGCACTAACGAAAAAACATATACCAACAGACCTAAAGAGGATTACAAAACAAGATCTCCTAAAGAAAGAAAAAGGAAAAACATAAAAAAACAAACTGAAGCAAAAAATTGAAAAGGACGAATTGCTTAGTAAATTGATAAGAAAAATTCAACTAAGAATTGTTGTGCTAAGCTACCCGCAGATAGAAGTCAATAAAAAACTAGTTTCACTCAAAAGTTATGGGGCAGCTTCAGATAAAAGAATCCAGTATCACCTCTCCATCCATAAATACTATTTTCACACAAAAACAGAACATTACTATAAAATCTTATTCTTGTTCTTCCTACTGATGACTTCAAAATGAATAGATAGGAAGAATTCTGGAATCCAGAAAAATTCATTGCTTGTTAAGAAAAATGCAAGACTGGTGAAAACAAGACCAGAAAGGAAAGCCACCAATGGCCTCTCGCTGGGCATTTGTTACTGTTCTCTATTTAAACATGTATGCTAATGAATTGATGACAGCAGCATAAATTCTTCAGTAGCTCAACAGTAATACTAAAATAATAAAAGTATAAGCTATGTGCATTAAACTAGCAAAGGCTGAAATACTGTCATAACACAAAATTGGACTACGAACTTTCCCTCCTTTTCTAATCTACAAAATATAAAATCGACCTCACAATCCAAAAATAAGTTAAATACCTAATATCTAATGCTAAAATGTATAAAATCAATATCATATTGTTTTGGATTGTGAACCATATCAGGTGCAGCACCACAATTCGATATAAACAGTAACTACAAAAACGTACTTTCGGAGGCTCCAATAATTGTGTCCTTAGTTTTGCTATCTTCGCCTTGAGCTGCCCAAGATGATACTCTGCACGATACAAAAATCAAAGTACATTCATAATCACGAAAATACTAAACACACAAAGACGTAGAAAATAATCCGAACCCAAAATTAGACCACAAGGCCAAAGAATTATTTAAAAAGGTAAGAGAAAAAACAAAACACCCAGCAAGAAAACACTTTTTTCCGGGAATTCCACTAATCGAATGAAATCAGAGGATACTAACTGAGTACCTGTGGCTTTGTTTTTCTGGGTCCGAGCCATTTCGGCTTCAATTTCTTTGATCTTTTCAATAATACCCATTTTATTTTCCGCTATAACCAACAAAAGAGTAATCAGCAAAGGTAAAGCAGAAGAATCAAACAAGAGAGAGAAACAAGGTACGATCTTAATTCACCGGAAAACACAGTCACAAGATGTCGTCGAAAACCCCCAGAGAGAGAAGAGTAGGTCTGAAAAAAGAAGATTGAATAATTATTTGAGGCCCATTTTTAACACCTTGTGATTGGGCCAATCTTTTTTTTTTCAAATTTCTTATTGGACCAACGACCTTTAAATACTTTACGAAACAATTGGTCATTTCTTTCTGCAACCCAATTATTTCATGTGCACCTCTTTGGAGAGGTTAAGAGATCAAATTGCCCCTTACCGCTGCCACTCCTTCCTTAAGTGTATATGTGCGGTATTATGAATAAGCTTAAGAATAAAAAGATATTAGAGACTATATACTTTGGAAGTCATATTAAAAGAACCGGATTTTTAAATTACATAACATGATTTGAATTTTTTTTATAAATTGTACCAATGGGACCGGACGTCCAACAGACCGGACGTCCGTAAAACCATAACGGTCCAACCACGCTACCCTTCCGCTTGTCATCCGGATGAACAACAATTATGAGGCCGGTCGGGAAAAGCCGCCAGCTAACCATGCCGCCTATAGGGACCGGCCGGTCGAAAGGCCAAACGTCTGGAGACCGGCCGGTCATGCCGCTAATTAACCAGGTTTAAGGTAAGTTGTGGTTAAAAGCTATTGGGCTGAATTTGGACCGTGATTAACGTTTCACTAATCCCAAGCCCATAGTGAAAACTATAAATACAGATCCAGGGTGAGTGGTATATAGGTTGCATTTACTGCACATTTATTACTGTTCTATCGAAAAAACGTCATTGCTCTCAGACTGACTTTGACATCGGAGAATCTTTCGCAGGTCTCCCAGCCACGCGTAGAGAAGGAAATCAAGGAGTAAGGAGCGAGAACCGGACGTTCGAGAGACGAGAAGAGGAGGACGTGGAGGCATTGGACGACTCAGTCCCTACAACCGAAACATAAATTAATGTTTCTTACATCACATAATTCAAAAATTATTTTTTATATCAAAAAAATCATTTTACACAATTAATTTTTTTTTTTAAAATAAGAAATTTATCTTTATGGGATTCAGGGAAAAAAAATCATGTTAGTTGGAAAAGAAATTCCCTTTAACCATAAATCAAATCTTATATTCATGACAATGATAAGAAGAAAAGAGAAAAAATGTTTCATTGTTCTAGGTATAATCTTAATAAAATATATTTAATTCTCCTGTTTTTTTCATTTTTAAAAATTTTTATGATGTTGATTTTATAATTTAGGAAAAGGAAGAATATATAATAGGCTTAATACCTCTTTTGGTCCTTCGAAAGAGGGGTTGTGTTCAAAATGGTCCTACCTTTTTTAAAAAGAAACAAATGATCCCAAGTTGTGAAAAAACAGGTCAAGTTAATCTTTTTTGCTTACGGCGTCAAAAATGTAACGGTGCCTGGACAAAACATAATGACTTGTCCAATTTATGTCATTGTGTGGCAGTGTGAGGTTAAATGACGTGTTCAGCGAGAGGGAGAGGGAGTTGCGCGAGAGGACGGGGATTGGTTCTGTGTTGCAGATTTTCTTCAACGAGAAGTTGATCGGAGGGTTGGTGGCACTGAACTCGCTGCGGAACAGCATGGAGTTCGACCGGAGAGTGGCAGAGATGCTCGGCGGGAAGGCGACCGATGGGAACGCACTATGGCCGCCGGTGTATGAGTTTCATTAAACGACACACAAACTGTCAGCAAGTAAAATTGCCTCATTCCAAAATGCCTCTTCAGGTGAAAATGATGAGCTTCCGTGTACTGACTTTGGAGTCTTCTTAACCCTAGCTTTAACAATCAAAGACCCTGGTTGGGTGATTTTTACGAGAGGGTTTGGAATTTTTTTATTCGCGATGAACTCCCGATTAGGGTTCCTAATTTGGGGTTTTTTGTCCTGTGATTAATTTTCATCTAAAATTTGGTTTTTGCAGGTTCTCGGTGGCTATTGATGAGGCTCGATTTGGGTTTCTTTAGGTCTTTGCAGTTTCTTGCAGGTTTCAAAGGAAGAGATTGGTGGAGGATCTCGCCTTTTTGTTTTTGAGTTTTTTCGAAAGTCTGGCGGAGAAGATGATGATGGTTTTTTGGTTTCGTTGCAGTGGCAAATGGAGGAGGAAAATGTGATCTGATTGTTAGGAAGAAGTTAGTAGCCTTAGCGGTGGTATGAGGTGTTGACGGTGACGGTTTGTGGCTCTAACGTTTATGGAGGTGGAAGATGAAGCTTATATGGTAAGCAATTTGTTTTTTTTTTATTTAAAATTGACACGTTATATTACCTCAATGTGTCATGTATGAGAAAAAGAGGACAACTCATTAAGTTTTGGCCATCGAGATATTTTTGACGCCGTAACTTGATTTATTTTTTCACAAGTTGGGATCATTTGTTATTTTTTAGAAAGGTATGACCATTTTGGAATATAACCCCTCTTTCGAGGGAACAAAAAAGGTATTAAGCCTATATAATATTTGATTAGTTAAAATAAAAACGACAGTATTTATTCTACATATAATTTTTTTCCTTTAAATATCACACACGATATAGAAGAAGAGAAATCATTAAATTAAATCAATGTAAAATTATAGTTTTATTATATTCTCCTAAATCATTAAAATTTATTAAAAATTCAATTGAAAGTTTCCAACTTTGTATATGGTTACAAAAGAATATTCAATCATGATTCAAGTGAAATTATAACTAAGAAAATATTAACTATCTTCTAAAAAAACAACACAAAACAACAAACGATAAGTTATCAAATAATAAAACTATTATATTTTATAATATATTTTTGGTAACAATTTAAAATTGCTAATATATTTCAGGTCAATTTAAACAAAGAATAACCCGGATCAACCTTAAACATATAATCTAAAACTAACCATTTATTAATAATGGAACGGAATTAAACAAAAATGAATAGGACAAAATATAATTAAGCCTAAATATAATGTTCTGGCCATATATGCTAAAATATCAAGCAATTTCATAAAAAATTTAAATGGCCTTTAATATCTTTATAAGAATCTATAATCTTATCGAAGAAGACAATCTATGACTAGATGTTGACAATATATTCTAATTAATTATTATAAAAATCTGACTCATAACACTTCACAGTTTATTAATTTTTATAAAACAAACCTTTATTCAATGGACTACAATTTTTCCATATTATACGTCAGCTTGCGAGATTCATTAACAGCATTAGAACAGAAAACAACGTTAATCTAATTAAAATTAAGGTATATAAAGACCAAAATTTACAACCATGAAAACATCGAGAATCAAAAACTGACATCATTCTATTCATCGTTTTAAGGCATAAAACATCTAATCAATCTCCTCTCAACTGTCTACAAGATTGCATCTACTCTCTCTAGCCTTTCCAAGAAAGGATTGGTCTAACAAAGTGCAGAAATCAGTTTTAACAAAAAAAAATTGCTTCCTGATAAAGAGTTTGGTATTTATTTACAAGTAGCCTGATCTATCTTCATGCACACTCCCTCCACCAGCTGCTACCTTGTTTGAGCTGATGTTTGGAGGAACCTGAGAATTCATTTCAGCAAGCTCTCTTACACGTAGTAAAATTTTCTCAGGAATTGGAGCCGTACCATGCTTCCGCGAATTTATCTATAACATCAAAATATAAGTCTTCATTATAATAGTAACTGAACTAAAACTTGAAAACTTTATCATTTCAGAACTGTAATAATTCCCATTTTGAAGTGGGAATTGAAGACAGTAAACAAGAACTTCATGAATTTGCAGCCCCCAAAAGCATGCAGCTGAAGTGCATTACACAAACATTAATGGCATGATGGCATCACAAATGTCAAGCATGCATGCTAATAGAAGAATTTGGATTCCATACTGTTTTTCTTTTCTGTAGTTGTTCCTCTTATGTGTCTTCAAAATACACTAATGAACAATGATTTTGATGTTCTAAAATATATTAAAAAAAATTTCAATATACCAACATCGATGTATTTTTAATGCTCAGCAGCGGATTACACCAAAAAATCCAATAGAAAGTCTAGACTGATGATAAAGTTCTATGCATGCATAGGCATAAGATGAGGTTGAAGAAGAAGCCAAACTTAACCCACCTCTACAAGATCAAATTAAAATTACTTTCATAAAGTCTTACCCCCTCATCAGAAGGTGCAGGTGTCATTGCAAAGCTAGCTTTGAGCAAATTCCTCCACTTGTCCTGCAAGGTAAAATGTGTTCAATGTGTGCATGCAGACACAAAAATTAGCCTTGCATTCACTTTACCAACTTTAACATCATGATCAGAAGTGCACATGAGATTACCTTAAGATCAACAGATGTTCGATATGAGTATGATGCAAAGGAGAGGCGTTTGATTTCAGACCACCTCCCTGCTCCACACCTTGACACGCCTTCAACCAACTTTATGACCTCAACAAGTGTCCATGCCCGGTGATGCTTCCTCCTCATCCCTCCTTTTGCAGTGGGAACAGTAACTATGTTGTCATCTGAAGTATGGCCTGGTGGATCTGCCCTTTTTGGCCTCAATTCCTGCCGTGGCTCAATTGTTGCTATTACTGGACACTGCTTCTCTTTCTCAGGTTCAGAAGAAGACTATCAAACACACCCACCCACAACAGAGAAAAAAAAAGTCATGATGTTATGCAGAGAATAACATACCAAAACAATATCATACAAAAGAAGTCAATAATCTCTTTTTCAAGGTCAAACTTGTGAAAACTTGAATAGTTTATTAAACAAATGCTTCAATTGCATGTCATGTAACAATCCCACATCGAGGAAGTACTAGACTGACAAAATGAAAACCGGAAGAAAAATTTAGAGACATTATAGGAATCATAATCGCCACCATCTTGGGTTCAAGCATTCAAGAAATGAAATTTACATAAGCAACAAATATGAGAAGCCATAAACATTTTAAGAATATAAAATTAGAAGTTGACAAAATCAACACATTAGCAATTTCTCCAGGTGCTATAATTTCCCAACTCCCGAGTTAGCTAATTGCTGACCCTTTTATGGCGTTGTAATTCTACTTCATCTCCTTACTATAAAATCATCATTCTTTTCGTAAGGAATTTATTGTGTTCCAACAAATAAACTATAATTTCAACAATTAACAGAGGCTAAGTTGCTCTTACTGGTTGATGAAACGTAGCAGGCATTCTAGACTTGAAAACTTTATCTGGAATCTCACCAACAGCATCAGAACTGTGCTCAATGAGCTTATTACTCAATTTTTCAGTCTCACTCATGGCACTTGGATGGAATTTCTGAAAAAAAAAAAGAGCGTAATTTTTTTCTGATTGTCAGAAAATAAAAGCACTTTTGAAAACAATCATAACTACCGACAAACTTGCACTGGAAAATGCAGCAGGAGTAGAAAGGCAACATTGGAAAATCATGTAGCAAAGAGACATTTCCTAGGCATGCTATCATACACATCAAGGCCTGACTATAACATTGATAAGAAGCATTTTCTTAGACATAAAAAGAGGAAGAAAAGGCCAAAAAAGTATGCATTATGATCTAACTGTAACAAAAAGATACATCTAATTTGCTGAATTACTTTCTTTATAGTAGAACAGGAATGTTTGGTGTTAAAATATTTCAATAATATAGTTGAATCTTATAGAATAATTTAGAACATCTCCAATGATCCCATAGAAAAGGTTTCAACATTACATAATTTGTTTCCTATTTTGATTAACGAGGTGTCTAGATCCAGTGTAATGGCTCAGCTTTTTTGAACTTCTTAAAAGCAGAAGTTCCTCCAATAAGCTACAATACAAGCTCCATTTTTTTAGTTTTTTTTTCACTAAAATAAAGACACTCAATTTTACCAGTTTCATAAAACTAGAAAACGGGAAGATAGAATCATGCTTTACTGAGAGGGGTAAGCTTAACATACAAGCAGGAAACAGTATCACATACCATAAGAGATGCCATATCTTTCCTTGGACGACTTCTCCGAATCCAAGACACACAAGGAATCTCGACATCAGATCCTCCAAGAGAGGCGAACCTCGTGCCACATGTTCTCACCTCTGAAAAAGTATTTCTAGCAGGCCTGACATGTGATGTTGAAGAAACATGTCCAAGTTCCATGTTTTTATTAGATACTGGCAACCTAGGACTGTGCTCTTTAGATTCATTTTCAGAGAGCTCTTCAATATATCTCTTTGTAGGTCTCCTAATTCTTTTTGCAGCTCTCTGTTCTTTCTGATTAGTCATATCTTCCAATCCATATTCTGTATTTTGATTTCTCAATCTTATTTCAGAAACAACTTGTTTATCATCAATTCCACAAGCATTTACAGCAGACGAATCCTTAAAGTTGATATCCTCTTTTTCAGTCATATTTTCCGAAGAAATTAAGGACGCAACATTCATATTTCCAGAACTTTCTTCAACAAATTTTCTAACTATTTTGTTATCTTTAATAACGAAAGTTGTTGCTGAAACATCACATGAGTTGGTTAAACTCATGGCAATCCTCCTTTTCAGCCACTGTTTATCTTTCACAGTAGTTTCTCGACCAAAAGTTACCTTAAACAGTTCATGAAGTTCTCTGATTGATAGCTTGTCCAAGCATATTTCTCCGTCTGACATTGAAAGGTCAGGCTTCAAATTGGAATGGACAGCAGAAGCAGATGACCCACTTTCCATTACTCCTTCTGAAGGTCTAGAACACTGATCCATACTCCCAGATTGATTGCTATGAGTATAATTTAAACTCGACGCTATAGAAGGAATTTCCTGGTAGGGAGTTTCAGATTGAACCTTCCCATCCGTGACAAGACATTTATCAGCTGAACACTGGCTGTCTGCATTTACATGAGAATGAACAGGTGATCCACATGATATGCGTTGTTTCTCCTCTTCTTTGACCTTTTGCAAAATCTGCTCAATGTACTACAAGAAATTTTAGAGGTCAAGAAGGACCCCTTGGAAACAAAATATTGAAAATACCACAACTTGAAGCAATGATTCAGGGAAGGGGGGACCATACATTATTAAGAAAATATGGGGCAATTAATCACTTCGTAGATGAAAACCACATACAATATCGTAAAGGATAAAAAAACCAAAGGTAAAAGACTCATGTGCAAAGTTAAATAAACATATCCAAACATAAATGTTTGTCATAGTTCCACCAATCTAAAGTGTCATCAATTATTCAATGCAACAATTCTTAATTGGACAGACCTAATCCAGTTGTTGTCATATGTAGAAACACATTATTTAAGCTACATCTTACTGCATTACACATACAAGGTAAACTTGTGAATTTCTTTACTTTTCTGATAGAAGAAGAAATTTTATCAGTTAATAATGAAGACAATTACAACAGGAAAAAAATAAACACATTGGCACTGCATGATTAACATGGGTGAAGGAGAATCTAGGAACTAATATCTTCAGAATCAGAATATGCATGCCATAACTACAGATATATAAAAGGATTACAATATCTGACAATACATCTCAGACTCACCACATCTACTCTAAAGAAAGTGCAAACGTATTTATACCACGAAAAAGCTTGCCATTATGACTACACAAATGTTTAAAGCTCATTTAAGTAATTAATATGCCATCACCTGATTTCACAATTAACAACGGATATAAAACATAAATCATCTTTATTAAGCATGCTGTAACAAGAAGAAAATACCATGTTGGACAGACCAACTTTTTCATCCATTCAAACAGAATCACAATAGATCAAATCATAGTTTGAGAATTTAGTTCTTATTTTCCCTAATGTTGAAATCCTTAGGAAAGGAATGAGAGAAAACAAAAGAGATCCAATTACCTGTAATTTTGCATTTAGTTTCCCCAAATCAGCCTCTGTGGAGCCTAATTGTTAAACACCACGGCATTAGTAGAAAGAAAATAAGAGAAAAAATAACCTTGAAAGGGAAAGGAATAGGTTAACAATCATGGCATTTGCCTAAACTTTAAAAAAAGTATCACCATATAACCAACGAGAACACTAAGAGTTCATCAACATTTAAAATTAGATAATAGGCATTATACCCTTTAAAGTTACAAACAAGCTAATAATTCCAGGGAACAAAAACAACTTAGAGCAATGTCATAGTGAAACAAAGTCTCAAGCCTTCAACAGCTTTACTCCCAGAAATCGTTGACCCTAAATTATGCATTTTAAAAACAGAGACTGTTTATAAAATTTAAAAGACTGAAGACATCAACACAAATTTTGGTCTAGAGAACAACTAAAAAATAAATAAATAGATAACACTCAAATCCATTTAGCAGAGATAAAGCTGCAGTAAAACAGCCAAGAAATCCCATGATATAGTCTGATGTAACCACTACTACAGATGCTATTGCTTTGACATGGCATTCAACATGTTGAGAAGCAATTGTGACAATGAAAGATTGAGTATGCACCTTCCGTGCACTCCAATCGAAGCTTCCCAGAAGATGATCTTTCAATCGATATGCATTCTAAACTCTGTCCAGTGTCAGCAACAACATGCATTTCACTGTTTTCATACTCAAGAAAATCCCCCACCTCCATTACTTCATCATCTGTTGCAGGCACTAACCTTCCATCACCTTCAACCTAAAGATTATATCAGATTGACAACTGGTTGAATTATGAATATAGCCTGAACAAAAGTATAAATAACAACAGAAAATGTAGCACAAATAATAAAAAGTTTACTTATGAATAAACTTGCCCTTTACTTTGATCTAATCAAACTAAATGTTAACACAAAGTCGCATTCCATTTTCAACTTTCTAAATTTTCATTTCAGCCATTACAGAAGATTATGGAAAGTGAGGTAATTTCCTTATATAAAAAAAGTGTCATCAAAGGAAATTAATTTATGGAACAACTAAGCTACAAAAGATAGATGGGAAACTGTCAGGAATTTTGTTAGTTTGTAGGGGAGATGGCTGACCACTTCTGGAAAAGACAAAAAGGTATCAAGGCATTATAAATGCTATAGCAAATAATAGGAAATAAAAAAGTGAGGCAGGTAGAACAACAATCATTCATGCTGATTAAAAGGTGTCCATATAGGGTTGGCACAAAAATTCCACCTTTGAATAAATTGAAGACAGACCAAATATTAGAACACTTCCGGGACAATGTTTAAGTTTTTAGTCTAATAAACAGGATAATTATAAGGCTAAAAAATAGCATTACAACTATTAAAAGCATCCTAAGCTGAAAAAACACTAAGGTTCCATGGCAACTCATTCCATCTTGATTTGCTGTCATCAAAGCATCAAACAAAAAGACCTTAAACACTTCTATATCCCAATGAGAAACTAAAAATTCGATGAAAAATTAAACATCTACCCGAACAAGCTTGTATACAATTGGGTTAGAAATTTGCTTCGGTGAAGACAGAGCAGAACTGCTTCTGTCAAGTCCACTGTCTTCAAACTTCCCATCATCATTATCTTCAATTCCAACCACAGTTTCCATGAAGTATCAAGCACATGCACATCAAGTACACAAACTGCAAAACCCAAAAAAATAGAAAGAAGAAAACGAGTTACAGATAAATTCACTATTTGAACAAATCAACTCAAACCCAGATAACATAACCTGAAAATTGCCCCAGTAAACACCTTAAACCTTCAAAAATCAAAACTTTACCAAGACAAACGGTGCCCCAGAAGACAAAACCACCAATTAAACACACACAACTGCACACAAACGCGCACGCAACAAAAATGAAATCCCAAATTACTAACACCACAAAATATTTCACAAGCAAAGAAATGCACAATTGGGGTCAGTGAAAAACTAAATTAAAAGCAACCCACGTGACAAAAATTGGAAATTGGACTCACCATAGGGTAGAAAACGATTCGACTCAGTAACTGAAGCAGCAGAACCCCACTCAGTGAACGAGTTGAAAAATGGATTGAATCCTCCTCGGGGATGAGGAATCGTCTATCAGAAACTTCTTCGATAAGTAAAAGAGAAATGAAATTGAACACAGTGGATTGGTTATTTTCTTTTTTTAACTGGAATATAATTTAATTTAATTTCGCAATTAATTGTGTGCGTTGAGAGAGAGTGGAGAGTGGTAGTCTGTGTGTGGGTTTAGGTTTGCTTTTCGATCACGCTGCGGTGAGTGAGTCAGTTGAGTTTCGGATTCCAAAATTGTTTTCTGAAGTGAATTGAATTTGGAATGTAGAATCCGGATTTTTATTTTCTTTTGGACTCTCTCTGTCTCTGCGACTGTCTCTACACAGCTCTCAAAAAACATATCTTGAAAAAGTTTATTTCGTTTTTGGATGAAAAAATGGTTTCTTTCATTGTTTATCAACCCATAGTTTTCCACTTTTTTTATTCATTCATGTCTTCAGTTTCAAATAATTTCATTTTCCTTCAAATTGAAACTGAGACTAAAACATGTTTTATGGATCTTGAATATGATTTCTATCATTATAAGGGACATTGTATATACAACTTAGTAATTTTTAAGTTAATTAATAACAGTTTTAAAGAAATATGCATGAAAATTAAAAGTCAAGAATTTTAAAGAACAAAATTGAATTATATTTTGTAATATCTATATAAACTAAAAACTGTGTAATTATTTTCAAAACATATTAACTTTCAATTTTTTTTATATGGACTGTTCTGGTATTTTTGGTTTCTTTTCACTATCTCAACTATGTCAGTTAAATTATTCAAGTAGTTTAATAAATTGTGTTTTGTACTGTTATTTAAATTTAAATATATCCATATTTTTTTTATTATTATATTATTATTCTTGTTATATTATTATTATTTCCTATTACTTATATTTTTTTCATGAAAAAAGTTAAAAAAGTTAAATTATTGTAACTATTATCATTTTATTTTGACTATTAATATTTTTGAAAATATGTAAATTGACTTATACAGATACTTTTTATTAAAATGTAACGATGAAGTAATGCGCATTTATTATCCTCGGTAAAGAAATAACATAAATGGCAAAAAGTAAAAAAAAAAATAATATATATATATTTGTGTATATATGTACATATTTTAATACTAACTGATTTGTTAAGTTCATTCCTTTGTTTTAAATTTATTATTTTCAATCGTTTTAAATTTAATAATATAGTTAAAAATGAATTTGTATTTACCATTAATCATAAAATATATTTTAAACTAACCATTTTTACCACTTTTAAAAAGTATAATATATAATTGAATCTAAGTATTCATATAATGACATTAATAAGTAAAAAAAATCGACTTCTTTCTGATTGTTCCAGTCATTATATTATATTATATAATAATAATAATAATTATTATTATTATTATTATTAATTTTTAAATTTAATGTAATATTCAAAATTTTTCTTTTTCATAATTGAATTTAAATCTCTTTGTTATCCTATAGTTTTATCATTGTGCAATTTTAAAGTAGAAAAATAAGTTACACATTCAATCTCCGCTTTCATTAGTTTTGTGGTCAATTTAACATAAATTATTGGCCTAAATCTAGATAACGACACATAGAGGTGGAAATACATTAAGTCGGGTAAATTTTTGAAGAACTTTAAATATGATCTTTGTTGAAAAAACAAATATAACTATAAGAAAAAACCTTTTTTATCCACAAAAAGAATATGAAAAAACAAATGTCGCGGTAAAGAAAAGTACATCTATAGAATGATTTCATTAAATTGATAAATAAAACAAAATTTATCAAAAATAATAATTGTAATAATAATATATGTTAATAAAGTTTGTTGTTAATTTAAATATTTTATTATCAATAGATATTACTGTTAGTAAAATAGGTTCTACAGTCTTTGTTTTAGGTTTTTATCATTCATCTCATTATAAAATTTGTTGAAAATGATTTTTTTTTTAAACTCTCACTAACTGAGTCTTTGTTTAATTACTCGTCTGATTTCTATTCTCATCTAAAAATATTAAATTCATATTTTAATTTCAATTTAATTTCTATCACTGAAAATTTATTGATCTATTTCAAAAAGTGGAACGAGAAATATCAAATTTCATCAAGTTTTCACAAATTAATATTAAATTGCATTAATTTTTATAAATTTAGATCAAATTGAAACTAAAAAAACTAGGTGACCAGTTTCACGTTTTTAAAGAAAAACATATATTACATAACTAATTAAACTTTTAATTTTTGAAAAGTTTATTAGAAAAATTATGGCTAACCTATGATTAGCTTATAAACAAATCATATTAATGAAATTGATTATCGATTAGTCGTTAAACAAATCGGTTAGTTATGAATCAGTAAAGTTAATTCTAATGTTGATCAATCTAGAGATAAAGTGTGATTATTTATAATTAGATAATGATTGACCTATTATTAATTAACAATTCACTCTAAAATCTATAAATACAGGTTTGACATAAGGAATAGGTAATTTGCATTTAGTACACTGTTACTTTTTAAGTGTCAACAAAATGATTTTTAAGATCAAAATATTTTTTTTAAATATCTTTCAAGCGATTTGAAGAAACAGTTGAATCAAAAACTCGAACATTGGACAACTTTGAGATTTCGGACTACTCACTAGAGTTGAAATCAGGGTGTTACTCCCTCCACCACCACATTTTCTCCCTCCACCTCCCCAATTCTATTACATATTTTTTGAATTACAAAACTAACATTTTATAATTACACAAATAACCTTTTTATTTTTTAATCCTAATTATTTACTTTAACCCTAAAATCTATCTTTCTACCCTTTCACACCCACCTCCCAACCCCTCAGATTCTCACCTAAACTCCATCAGATTTGTTTCTCATCTTCCATTTTTCCTCACAGTGTGGTGGTGCTTCAAGGTGCTGGTTCAGAGGTGTGAGAGGTTGAGAGGCGTGAAGGTGCGTAACAAAACCCTAATATATAAATCATATAATCTTTAAAAGGATGTGAGCATCCGTCAACGGATGTCAACATCCGTTTAAGGGAAAACGGATGTCAACATCCGTCGACGGATATCGACATCCGTTTCAGATCCAAACGGATACCCGACATCCGTTTTTGCCCTGGTTATCTTCTTCCTTTCTCCCAACACACACACAGCAAAAAAACGCAAAGCACAGCACAACGCAGAGCATAATACAAAGATATATGCATTGCATTTAAAAAAATTAAAAATATCATCACTAACCTTGTGAGGAAAAATGGAAGATGAGAAACAAATCTGATGGAGTTTAGGTGAGAATCTGAGGGGTTGGGAGGTGGGTGAGAAGGGATAGAAAGATAGATTTTAGGGTTAAAGTAAATAATTAGGATTAAAAAATAAAAAGGTTATTTGTGTAATTATAAAAGGTTAGTTTTGTAATTCAAAAAATATGTAATAGAATTGGGGAGGTGGAGGGAGAAAATGTGGTGGTGGAGGGAGTAACACCCTTGAAATCATTGGCTTCCATTCTATATCCAAAATAATTATTTTATTAATTTCATCTTTTAGGTGTTTATTTATTTAAATTTGACCATTTTTTATTTAATTTTCAAACTTAATTATTTTTAATTAAAAAATATCTACATAAATAAAAACCATTTATAAAAAATTAAAATATATATTTAATTTTATAATTTAAAAACAACAATAATAATTTTATTATTTTTTATTATCAGAAAGAAACAACAATGTCTTTTCACTAATATTAATAATGAAAATAACTGATTGAAAGAGACAACAAATTTTTTAAAAGTTATTCCTACTCTTTTTGTCTTATAAATGCTTGGAAAGAGAAATAACTCCTAAAATATATATGGTAATTAAGGAAGCTTCTTCTTTTTTTTTTCTGCATTCCTATATCTCATAACAATTAGTTTGAAATTTATTGACAAATATTTTATCAAATTGTGAAAAAGACATTTTTCTGTCTGAAATAAATCCAAGCATTATCCACACTAATTGTTTCTACTAGTTTTTGTCTCATCTTTTCTTCTTCTCCTCTAGATTGATTATCAATATTTTGCGTGGTCAATATATTAAATACTTATTTGGATATACTATAAATATTTATAAAATAAAAAATAAAAGACCATTAGCTCATTTTTTAAATTAAAAAAATTTGATTATTAATATGTTAGAAAAGTACAATATATAGAAAATTACATTTTAAAACCTAATAGTTTAAAAATAGTAAAACTCAATTATTATAATATTAATTTTTTTAGTATAAATCAAAATTATTTTTCTAAAGTCATTTTATTGAATAATTGAGACTATGAGATCAATTTTTGCGTTGAGTTTTTTAATTTAGATTGATAAATTTTCTTTTTTTATATATGTTGATTTTCAGACATATTTCTTGGTCTTGTGTTTTGTTATTTGTTTATGTTTTTTTTTTCCATTTACATGTGTATTTTTAATAAGTGATTATAACATTATGTTCTAATCATTTTTATGATATTTCTGTGTAGATAGAACATTTGCAAGTAGGGAAGAGTTTAACTAGTTAGAGTTTTATGAGTTGTTGGTTAAGCAAGGGAAACTAAATGTACAATTTTTAAGTTATATATACCTTGAAATTTCTAATTTTATAATTATATGGTAAATTGACTTAATGATTGATCTCTCTTGATGAATGTGATATGTTGAATTTTGGTTAGGTTTTTACATTGACTGAATTTATTATATGTTAAAATATGAAAATGTTGTTTGATTGATGTTGCATATGAAATTGTTGAGTTAATGAAAATTATGTAACTTGATGTTAGAGATGAAATTGATGTTTTTACATCTATGATTGTTGTTGGACTAAATTTACAATGGAATCACATATATCTACATAATTATGCAGACTCGCTAGGTGAGAATATACTGACTAAATGAAAATTAGTCAGAGAGTTTTTGACTTGGTTGTCACTTAAAAATATATAGTTATTGGGTGAAATCAAAGTCAGTGAATTTCTCACTTAGTTGTCGCTCAATAAAGATATACTTGCTAAACGTAACTAAAGTTAAAGAGTTCATTGACCTAATACGAGTTCACTGACCTAATACTAGTTACACGAAACTAGTTTTGTTAGATGACATTTAGAGAAAATTTAAGCCTGTGAATTTTAGTAATAATTTCGCTAAATAAGTTATCATTTAAATGATTTTTATTATAAGCAGATGATTTTTAGTGACTGTAGCTTGATGTTAATGGATAATAAAATATAAAATTAAATATTACAAAAGGTAAAAAAAATGATTAACATATATATTTTTTTGCCAATATCGTATTCTTATAAGTTTTAATCTGAAAAGGAAAAAAAATTAAACACAAATTTATTATTTATGTTCTATTTTTTTTATATATTTTTTGTATTATTTTTTAAGAAAAAAAATAATTCTTTCTTGTAATTTTCTTCGTATTTTCCTTTTAAGAAAAAAAAACCATCTTCGTATCCATTTATAGATTTCTAGATATATTATGGCTGACAATTGTTTTCTATATTGCAAAGGTGTAGAGAGACGAAGAAGTTAGGATGCAGTCTGTAGTCAATCCAATGTCTTTTCAAGTTTCTCATAGAATCAAATATGTTGTATTCATCTCTCTCGTGTTTGTAACATGTTCTACATCTTCCAATGACACTTCTCAAATAAAGTACGATGTATTTGTTAGCTTCAGAGGTGAAGATGTCCGTAGAGGTTTCCTTAGCCATTTGATCGAGGCATTTTCTCAGAAGCAAATTGCTTTCTTCGTAGATGATAGCATTCAAAAAGGGGAAGAACTATCTGAAGCACTATTTGGAGCAATTGAAGAATCATATATTTCTTTGGTTATATTTTCAGACAACTATGCTTCTTCAAGATGGTGTTTGTCAGAACTTGAGAAAATTTTGGAGTGCAGGAGAAAAAATGGACAAACTGTAGTGCCTATTTTCTACAAAGTTGACCCTTCAGACATACGACATCAAAGGAATACTTATGGAGATGCCTTTGTCAAACATGAAAGAAACTATTCCTTGACTACTGTGCAAACCTGGCGATCTGCTTTGAGTGAATCTGCTAATCTATCAGGATTTCATTTATCCCAATTTCTGTGAGTTTTTTGCTCCCTATCATGGTTTAAGATATCTAAAGAAAAATGCTATTTCAAACAAAATCTTTTATGTTCACAGACCGGAATTTTTGTTTCTCTTTCTCTTATGCTTGATTCTTTTGAGTTTCTCATAACTTCTTTTTGTTGCACAGAGATGAAGCTGAACTTGTTAAAAAGATTGTTAAATCTGTCTGGAGGACGTTGAATCATGTTCACCAAGTTAACTCCAAAGGGCTTGTTGGAATTGGTAAGCGAATAGCACAAGTTGAATCATTGCTGCAATTAGAAACAAAAGATGTTCGCATGATTGGAATTTGGGGCATGGGAGGTATTGGTAAGACAACTATTGCGCAAGAAGTATATAATAAACTGTGTTTTAAATATGACAGTTGTTGTTTTCTGGCTAACATAAGGGAGGAGTCATGGAGACATGGAATAAACTCTTTGAAGGAAAAGCTTTTTTCAACATTATTAAGAGAAGAACATTTGAAAATTGGCAGACCTTTTGGGTTCCAGAAGTTAGTTGAGAGAAGACTTCATCGGATGAAAGTTCTTATTATTCTTGATGATGTCGGTGACGCAGAGCAACTAGAAAATTTAGCCAGAACAGATTGGTTTGGATCTGGTAGTAGAATCATTGTGACAACCAGAGATAAACAGGTGCTTGCTGAGGAGTCTGCCAGTGTATACCATGTTGAAGCCTTAAACTTTGATGAATCTTTGCGACTTTTCAATTTAAATGCCTTTAAGCAAAATCATATAGAGACAGAGTACGAGGAGCTGTCAAAGAAAGCAGTTGATTACGCCAAAGGCATTCCGTTTGTTCTTAAAGTTCTGGGTCACCGTCTTCATGGGAAAGACAAAGAGACATGGGAAAGTGAATTAGAAAGACAACAAGTGCACAACAAAAAGGTTCATGATATTATTAAATCGAGTTACTATGATCTTGAGGAGGATGAAAAGAGGATTTTTTTGGATATTGCATGTTTTTTTTATGGGCAGCAACTGCAGGTAAAGTACATAGATTTTTTATTGAAAGATCGTGATTATTCAGTGGCTGCGGGATTGGAAAGGTTAAAGGATAAAGCTTTTATCAGTATTTCTCAAGAAAATACTGTATCAATGCATGACATCATACAAGAAACTGCTTGGCAGATTGCTGGCGAAGAATCCATTGAAAATCCCAGAAGAAGCCAGATTCGACTATTTGTCCCAGATGACATTTATGATGTACTAACACACAACGAGGTAATAGAGAAAATAACACAGAAGAATTGGATATTTTGGGGGAAAATATTTTATACTGATGTTTACAGATTTTCTATTATTATTCTTGCAGGGTAACGAGGCTATCAGAAGCATAGTGGTCAACTTGTTGAGAATCAAGCAACTACATTTGAAGCCACAAGTATTTACTAAGATGAGCAAGCTCCACTTTCTAAATATTTACACTGCAGGAACTCGTGATACTCGCTTCTACGAACGGTGGGGCTTGTATCTTCATCAAGGGCTCGAATCCCTGCCGAATGAGCTAAGATATCTTGGTTGGATGCATTATCCTTTGGAATCTTTGCCTTCAAACTTTTCTGCAGAAAATCTAGTTGAGTTGCACTTGCCATACAGCCGGGTGAAAAAACTATGGCATAAAGTGCCGGTAAATATTATATATATTTATAACTTTTAATCTAAAATTAAAATTAGCCCATGTCATGTCTTCAATAATCTGTTTGTTTCAACTGCTACAGGATCTTGTGAATTTAAAGGTCCTTATGCTGTATTCATCCTCGAACATAAAGGAGCTGCCAGACTTTTCAAAGGCCTCAAACCTTGAAGTAATAGATCTTCGATCCTGTGTAGGGTTGACTAGTGTTCATCCATCAGTTTTCTCTCTCAAAAAGCTTGAGAAATTAGATTTGGATGAATGCAGATCCCTTACAAGCCTTCGAAGCAATGTCCAAATGGAATCCCTTCGTTACCTCTCCCTCTTTAAATGCATGGAACTAAAAGATTTCTCGGTGACCTCAAAGAATATGATAATGTTGAATTTAGAAAAGACAGATATCAAGCAACTTCCTTCATCTTTTGGATCTCAAAGCAAGCTTGAACACTTAAATCTAAAGTTCTCTTCCATTGAGAGCTTGCCTGCAGACATGAAAGATCTTAAAGGGTTGCAACATCTCGATCTACGATACTGTAGGAATCTTAGCTTCCTACCAGAGCTTCCTCCATCTATTGAAACACTAGATTGCCGAGAATGCGTGTCATTGGGGAGCGTAGCATTCCCTTCTATTGCTGAACAATGGAAAGAAAATAAGAAAAAGGCTCTCTTTTGGAACTGCTTGAACTTGGATGAACGTTCACTCAAGGCCATTGAGACGAATGCGCGAATTAACATGGTGAAATTTGCACACCGGCATTTGTCTACATCTGGTGATGCTCACGCTATTTATGTGTACCCAGGAAGCCAGGTTCCAGAATGGTTGACGCATAAGACCACACATGATGATGATTATTATGATGATGATGATGGTGGTGGTGGTGATGATTGCATAACTTTTGCTCCAAATCCCTCTCACCTGGGCTACATTTTTTGCTTGATTTTACCGGCAGTGCAGTATTCGGAAAGGGTTTTGAAATTGACGGTCAGTACTGAAGGTGAAGATGAAGGTGACAGTATGATTGTGTACTTAGACAGACCACGTCATACTATTAAGTCGGATCACGTGTATCTGATGTACAACGAAGCATTATCTCGCTTTCTAACCAGTCGTGCCAAACAGCAACCAATGCTAAAAATTAAGGTTACAGTAGCAACACTAACATTCTCATCAACATACACGGAGGTGCAGTTAAGAGGGTTTGGGGTTAGCACAATCAGCAATCTTCTTCAGAAACGACAATTGTATGATACTCCAATTCCAAAGGAACATTCTGAAGTCTGTCCAGATGCTCTGTGGAATAGCTGAGAGGGAAGAGAGAATATTACAGAGGAGGTATATATATATATATAATGTATACATAAATAATTTCGAATTGCTTGGCCTTTTCTTTTAGTTTTTGGACTTTTTGTGTGGTTGTTTTTTTACCGGGACATATTAATATTTGTGTTTGAAGATTAGTGGAATGTGCCCATTTATTTTTTTTTATTTTATCTTTTGTAAATTTAAATTGTTTTGACTGGGATTTTTGTTCAAGTCAGAAGATTAATTAGCAGGCCAGAAACAAAGAAGATACATGTAAAATATCTAATAATGGTATTTTAAAAGTTATAATAGTTTAAAAATAGTGAGACTCAGTTATTTTAATACTGAATGATTTATTTATAAATAGTATTGTTATAAACGAGTTTTATTATCATTTCTTAAAATAATTTTTCTAGAACTTTTTATTTTCTCTCTAGGAGTTCTAACTTTTGAACCATTTCTTTGACGATCAAGAGGTACCTAATCGACCATGGCAACAAAGGCTACGTTTCTACCCGATCAGTTATTTGTTTAGAACGAAAGTTTCTGCCTCTTTTTCTTTTTTATTATCTGTTGATGATGATGCTTAGGAAACCCCGATGCATGTTCATTGGTGCTCATTTCTTGGTTCTTTGTCAATTTGTTGTCCCAAGGACTCTTTCCGTTTCCAATTTGATGCTTTATAGGTGTCTTTAGAAATGTTTTCCGTTTCAAACAATCGGTGAGACATCTTTAGAGTTGGATAGTTCCTTGTGAGGTAAGGGAAACTAGATCTTGTATTAGAGTTATGTTTGTGGTGTGAATCTAGTATATCTATGTATGATAAGGTAAATTAGATATAATCGTCATGATTGTTTGTGTAATGCTTGTGTTTAAATGATAATAAATGATAGTATGATGCTTGAATATTTGAGACTTGTTAGAGGTGTTGTTAGATTGAAACCTGTTAAGGAAACAAAGGGATAGTGCTATGTTGAAGTTTTAGGATGTTTTAGTGTAAAAATGAGGTTTTGAGTAGTTTTGAGTAGTGAGAATTTGATATGAGGGGTATGAACTCTTTTTGGAAATTTAAGGTTTGTTAATAGACCAATTATGACTTGTCAAGGCACTAAATCAGTAAAATCTGGTGTGAAAGTGTTAGTTCAGAATAGGGTGATTTATTAGGTATTTTTAGTTCAATTTTGGAGGTTTTAAGTGTTGGAAAATGGAAGTGGGATGGCTGGAAGGAATATGAGATGTTGGGGTGTGCTATCAAGTGTATGTAGACTTGGTTATGCAATTGATGGACTGAGATGTGGACTAGGAAGTGTAAAATTGAGTTTGGATAATTTAGAGGAGTGATTTTGGTTCAAGGGGTCAATTTGAGTTACAATGGTGTTTTCTGAAGTTTCTTAGAGTTTGTAGGGTCTTAGGGGTCTTTAGAAGTTAGGGATAACGTGTCCAAAGACTAATTATAAGTGCTTGTGCATCTATCATGGCGCTGAGCACCCAAACAGAGCGTTGAACGTCCCAATTCCAATGGCTTTAGTGTTAAGGGGCAATTTTCTGGCATTGAGCGCCACATTCCAGTGGCTATGGTGCTGAAGGGTAGTTTTCTGGCGCTAAGTGCCACATTCTAGTGACTCTGCTACTAAGGGGTAGTTTCTGGCGTTGAGAGGTAGCTTTCTGGCACTAAGGGATAGTTTTCTAGGATTAAGGGGTAATTTTTCTATGGTGAGCTTTTGAGTTTCTTTCTTTTATATTTTTGTGAATAATGATTATATTGATGATTTAATATGTGTTTTATGAAAGGTTTGAATGAGTTATGAATGCGTTTATAATTGAATTAAGTGTGGTTTGAAAAGAATTTCTAAGGTGAAATTATTATTGAAGGTTTCAAAGTGGTGATATAAGTTTCAAAGGTGGAGCTTGGTGGTGCGGTTCAAGTGTTGTTAGAATAAATGCAACTAGCCCAATCTTGAGGATTTTTCTGACACTCTAATACTCATACATTCTCAAATAGAGAGGTTTGACGCATGTGGTGAGAGTAGCAGGAAGTCTTAGTCTAGGTGCTTCTAATATGGCCTACGACGCAGTACAAACTAACCTTGTGATGTGTGGTAGGGTGAAACCCATTTGGTAAGGGCTTTGGAAAGTAGTAAAGGTCACCATAAGTTCATAACCCGCCATAACTCGACAACCATTCTAAGTCCGGACAGTCAGTCTAGGTCCTTGCATACTAAGATGTATGTTATATATATATATGATTCATGTATGCTATGTTATAAATGTTATATGACTTTTCTTGTATTTAACTTATCCTTGCTTTTGTTTTTGTTTGTGTATATGTTATTTTTCTCTTTTGGATTATCACCTAAGTGGTGTGAGTTTAGAGAGACAATCTGTTCAGTTATTCCAGCAAGAGGTGAGGGTGGAGCAAAAGGATTGTTAGATGGTTCCATAGAAGTAGATCCCTTGTCTTTTGTATGTTTGTTTTTATTTATAGATTATATTATTGTATATATAAAATTTTATTTTAGTAGTTTTATACTATTAAAATGTGATGTTACCACACACAGACACACACACACACAGACACACACAGACACACACACAGACACACAGACACACAGACACACACACAGACAGATAGACACACAGACTAGGGATGGCAACGGGTCGGGTCGGGCACGGATAGTGTCTACTCGAAACCCGACCCGACAAAAACAAAATCCACCCGCTACCCGATCTGCTACCCGCACGGATACTCGCTTAAAAAATATCCGCGGATATTTTAAAACCCGCGGATACCCATGGATACGCGCAAATATTTAAAAAAATATATTTTTATAAATTATTAAAATAAAATTTAAATAAAATTTAAATAAAATTTAAATAAAATTACAAAAAATATATAAAATATAATAAAAATTTAATTAAATATACATTAAAATTTAATTTTAATCTTATAAAATATAAATTAATGTTAATTTTAATTAAATTTAACTTAATAAAATATAAATTTATTTTTTATTTTTATTTTTTGCAGGTAGCGGATATCCGCGGGTACGGATAGTATAATACCCGCACCCAACTCGTTTATAAGCGGGTATTAAAATACCCGCTACCTGCGGGTAGTAAATATCCGCGGATACTAACTATCCATCACGGATTTTATTCATGGATATCCGCGGACGCGGATTTTTTTGCCATCCCTAACATAGACACAGACAGACACAGATAGACACAAACATACACACAAACACAGACACACAAACACACACAGGCACAGACACACACAGACACACACACAAACACACACACACAAACACACACACACAGACACACACAAACACAGACACACACACACACACAAACACACACACACAGACACACACACACAGACACACACAAACACAGACACACACACAACCACACACACACACACATACACACAGACAGATAAACACACACAGACAAACACACAGACACAGACACACACACACACAGACACAAACACACAGACAAACACACACACAGACAGACACACACAGACACACACACACATAGACAGACACACAGACACACACACACACAAACACACACACACACACAAACACACACACACACACATTTTTTTCTCACTTTATTTAACCAAATAGAATATTTTGTTAGTTGAAAAAGAAAAAACAAGACTTAATTAATAAGATAGTTTTAAATTAAACCTTTAATACTTTGATTCATTATTACTTAAAATCTTGGAATTGATTGAAAAAAATGAAATCAAAACATGGAAAAGATAGTTATAAGGATTAAAGAGTTAATGTCATTAATTCGTCCTACGTTATGTATTAAATACAAATTTTAATTTTTTATTATCCAATCTTAACTTTCATGCATAAGATTTTCTTATAAATATATGCAAAAAAGAGTTTAAAAATAACTTTTTGAATTTTCTTGTTCTTAAATAAGTTTAATAATTTTAAGAGTTAAATCAAACTGAACCATTTATAAGATGAGTTACGATGTCCAATAGGCTAATTGGTGTGTTTTGATAACAATAGCAATCAAATATTTTTTTTTAAAGTGAAAGGATTAAAACATAATATCTTATTTAGTGATTATATATAATTTTACATACATATATAGTTTTTTTATTGATATTTTTAAATTTTACATGAATTTAAAAGCTTTACTATGTTACTCACTAAACTTGAAATGGATTTGTTTTGATATTGAAAATATTAAAACATTTGTTGAATTCAATATAATTAAAGAATGTTTGCCCGTTGAAATGCTTTATAAATTATAGAACCTCTCAGTCAAAGACACTGATTAATAAATCAACATTTCATAGATATGAATGAATGAATGTCAGTCGAAAATAAGGAAAATAGAATGTTGAAAAGTCAAAATATACATTAATTTGTATCGTGAATTGTCATACTCCTCACAGAAGAAAGTCAAGTAACAAAGCTACAGTCAATCCTTCTCTATTCTCATCCCAAACTATGCTAGTGTTCTTTTCTCCCTTTCAATGAAATTCTCTCTTCAAAGTTCTTGGCAGAGCGACTTTCATTATTCTATACCAATCTTCTGATACAAATATTAAAAGTCCCGACAAAGACAACAATGCAGAAAGTACAGAAAAATCTTGACAAAATTGGGACATTTGGAACATTATCACCAAATTTTACTTTTTGAACAAAACTGTGAAAGTCTGTAGTGTTTATTACACTGATTCCAAAAGCTCTTAGCTTTAATGGTACGTACTTGGATGTGAGCGTTCGAGATGCCAATGCAACCTTAATTTTGATCCTTGGCTCATGTTTGGTACGACCGTTTAGGTATCGAGAACATGCCTGGTCATACATTAGATACACATGATCCGATGTAATACGATGTCTTGGTCTGTCCATGTACACATTGATATGGCTACCTTCACCACTAGTACTAATCTTAAATTCCAAAGCTGATCCCCCAAATGGGACTTCTGGAACAACAAAGCCAAAAATGAAGCCTATGTGTGAGGATTGTGGAGAAAGAACAGAAGAGAGATCAATAATCACGAAGTCATCATGTGTTGTCTTATGAGCCAGCCATTCTGGAACTCTACTTCCAGGATACACATACGTGCTTTGAGCATCCCCAAATAGGGAAAAATGTTGGTGTGCAAATTTCATCATGTTAATTTGTGCATTCAACTCAATAGCAGTGAGAGAAGGTTCATCCAATTTCAAGCAGTTCCAGAAAGCAACTCTTTTCTTATTTTCCTTCAGTTGTTCACCAGCAGTAGAAGGGAACGTTACAGTCTCAAGTGATATACATCCACGGGCATCTAGTGTTTCAAGTGATGCTGGAAGCTCTGGTAGAGTTCGAAGCTCTCTGCAATATCTTAGATCAAGATGTCGCAACCTTGTAAGATGCTTGATACTTGTTGGCAAGTGGTCAATGTAAGTGTATGCCAACCGTAGCTTTTGGAGGTTGCTTTGAAGTCCAAATGATGAAGGTAGTTGCTTGATTCCAGTGAGTTCTAAATTCAACTTTACCATATTCTTTGAGGTCACTGAGAAATCCTTCAGTGACATGCATCCATAGAGGGAGAGATAACGAAGAGAGTCCAAATGGACATTGCTTCGAAGGCTTCTAAGGGAAAGGCAGCCACCTAGATACAGTTTCTCAAGATTTCTAACAGAAAAAATTGATGAATGCACACTAGTCAGACGTACACAAAATCTGAGATCTATCACTTTAAGATTTGTGGCCTTTGAAAAATTTGGTAGCTCCTTTAGTCTTGTTGATGAATGCAGTATAAGGACCCTTAAGTTAACAAGATCCTGCAGCAATTAAACCAAATCAAGACCATATTAGATGAGCTAATGAAAGTGAGAAATTTTGGATTAGTTAACATTAATGAAGTAGTCCTTCTAGTTGTTCTGGTTTTAAATGAGTTCATATACCAGAAGTCCCTAATCCAATTTTTGTGGCAGGGTAGTAGAACCAGAAAGTTTTTTGTCAATTTTTTTCTAACTAGAGAGGACTAAAACTTAAATTAGACACATAATAAGTAGAGATACATAATACTTACCGGTGTTTCTTGCCAAACTTTTTTCAGTCGGCTATTTGGTAAGTTCAATTCAACAAGATTTTCAGCAGAAAACTTTGAAGGCAAAGATTCCAAAGGATAATGGGTCCAACGAAGATATCTTAGTTCATTTGATAGAGATTCAAGCCCTTGTGGAAGATACAAGCCTCCTTGATCCCCGAGGCAACTACAAGACCCTTTACTATAAAAATCTAGAAAATGTAGTTTGCTCATCCTTGCAAACACTTGAGGGTTTAATTGCAGTTGTTTTATTCTTGACAAGTTGATCACTATGCTTCTGATGGCCTCATCACCCTGCAAAAACGCAGTAGGAAATTTTGAAACATCGTTATAAACTATTTTCCTACAAAAAATAAAAGATTCTGTCAGTATATGATTTTATCTTTTACCTTATTGTAGTTTAGTACATGATAAATGTCCTCAGGATCCAATAGTCGAATCTGGCTTCTAGGATTTTCAATTGATTCTTCTCGAGCAATCTGCCAAGCTGTTTCTTGTATAATGTTGTGCATCGATACACCATTTTCTTGAGAAACACTGATAAGAGCTTTATCTTTCAACCTTTCTAATCCGGCAACCACTGAATAATCATGGTCTTTCAATAAAAAATTCATATGCTTTACCTTCAGATTCAGTCCATCGAAAAAGCATGCAATATCTAAAAATATCTTCTTTTCATCCCGATCAAGATCATTGTAACTCAATTTAATAATATCATGGACCTTTCTGTTCTGTACTTTTTTGAGTCTTTCCAATTGGCTTTCCCAAGTTTCCTTATCTTTTCCATGAAGAAGGTGACCCAAAACTTTAAGAACTAGTGGAATCCCTTTTGCATAGTTGACCACTTTCTTTGAAAGCTCATGGTACTCGCTTTCAAGATGATTTTGCTTAAAGGCATTCAAATTGAATAGCCTTAAGGATTCATCAAAGTTTAATGCCTCAACCTCATATATACTAGCAAACTGTCTAGCAAGTACCTGTTTATCTCTGGTTGTTATGATGATTCTGCTACCTGATCCAAACCAATCACGTGTTCCAGCTAAAACTTCAAGTTGATCTGAATCATTGACATCATCAAGAATGATGAGAACTTTCATACGTCGAAGCCTTCTCTCAATATATTGAGGCAATCCGTTAGGTGTGTCAATTTTCAAATCCTCTCCTCCTAATAATGTTGAGAAAAGCTTCTTCTTTAAAGAGATTATTCCAAGCCTTCCCGATTCTTCTCTTATGTTAGCCAAAAAACAGCAACCTTCATATTCAAAGCACAACTTGTCATATACTTCTTGTGCAATGGTTGTTTTACCAATGCCACCCATGCCCCATATGCCCATAACACGTACATCAGGCTCTTCTGATTGTAGCAGTGATTCAACATGTGCAATTCGTTTACCAACTCCAACAAGCCCTTTGGATTTACCTTGTTGCACTTGATTCAACCGACTCAACACGCACTTAACTATCTCTTTAATAAACTCAGCTTCGTCCCTGTGCCATAGAAAATGTGTAAATATCAAACACGTACTGAAAAGTTGATGAAAAAACATAACCTCAAATACATACCGAAAAGTTGATGAATGAAATCCTGCCAGATTAGCAGCTTCAGTCAAAGCAGTTCTCCAGATTTGCATAGTGGTCAAACTATATCTTATCTGATGTTTAGCGAAGGCATGTTCATAAGTCCCTTTCTGATGTCTTACATGTGCAGGATCCACTTTGTAGAAGACAGGTAGTACAATCTGACCATTTTTCTTTCTACACTCAACAATTTTCACAAGCTCTGACAAACACCAGTGTGAAGAAGCATAATCTTGTGAAAATATAATCAATGAAACTGATGATCCTTCAATTGCTCGAATGAGTGCTTCAGACAGTCCATCTCCTCTGACAACTTTGTTATCCACAAACGCATTAATATGCCTTTGAGAAAACGCCTCAATCAAATGGCTAAGGAAATCTTGCCGGATATCTGTGCCTCTAAAGCTAACAAACACATCGAACTTTATCTGAGGGGAGTCATTATCATAAGCAAAATCTGTCACTGGATATGAAGAATTATTACTATTATTATTGTCTATCGCTGCCAGCAAGACACACACAAATATTACACGTTTGATTCTATCAAAAACTCGGAAAGAATTAGAATATGTCATTGGGTTGGATCGTATATCCTCTGGATCTTTCTTCGTGTCTACACCTTTATGAAAAGAAAAGCGATCAGCAGCAAGATAAATCCATAAATGGAAAGATAAAAAAAGCTTTTTTCTAAATCAAAAAGGTTATTATTAAGAATCAGTACAGGAAGTAGAGTAACCTAGTACAAGAGAACAGTTATGTGACTCCAACCTCAAACAGCCGAATGCATTAAGCCGCTGATTAAATCACTCCTAACAGCTTAAAGAGCTGGACTTAATATCTGCAACAAACTCAAATTATTCTCAGCCAAATAGACGCAAAAATATATTTCAGATGAAAATACCTACAGTAGCAAGATTCCAAATTAAGCCTGTTGTTGCTTTTAGTTGGCTGGAATCCGTGACAGATTGAAATCAAGCCATTAAACCCCTGCTTCAGAATGCTTAATTGGTCAGAAATCAGAAGCACTTCAGAGAGTTTTCTTGAACTTTGAATTGATCACTTTGTCAGTATAGTCTTATATATGTGTGTGTGAACATTGATGAATGGTGAGATTCTAAAAATGGACACTCTCAGTTTTTCTGACCATATCGTGACTCTGTCTAAAACTGAATAACTAATTTGAAGATACTGATTGACCACAAAAGTAGGCCAAATTAAGAAAAAAAGAGTGGATTAAACAACCTCATTATGACTGACCTGGAAAGACTATTTCTGAATTTTCAGCAATCAGATGAAGATTGTGTAGGTTCCTTTGAGGGAAGAGGAGTTGAAAGAGCTTCCTTAGGATGGATTCAGCAAGAGTTTTTGGGTGCACTTAAGTATACAGTCATCAAAAGATAGGAGTTGACGCCCTCTGCATAGTCTTCTGTTCTCTCACACAGTGAAGTCTCCACACGCCTAGGAAATTTTGTGGCAATTTAAACTAAACTACCGCGTGCTGTTTTATTCAATTCAATGATATATAATTCAACATGGACATGGTAGGTAAGGAAGGCAACTTTACCCGCGGAGACGGATATTTGTGAGTAAAATCTGTGACGGATATTAATTATTCGTGGATATTTATTATTTACGGACAATGAGTAACGGATATTTTAATATCTATTTTTAAACGGGTCGGGTACGGATAATATATTATCCGTCCCGCGGATACTCGCTGTCCAAAAAGATTAAAAAAAATTAATTTATATGTTTTTTAATTAAATTAATTAAAAATAAAATAAAATAATATTTTATTAAGTTAAATTTAATTAAAATTAAATTTTAATTTATATTATATTATATATATATATATATATTTTTTTTGTAATTTTATTTTACATGTGTATTAAATATTTTTCTTTTATTTTTTTAAATAGACACGTGTTCGACTTAACCCGTTATCATATTTCAATGTAGGAATACGAAGCTTTCCAGTTTTTTACACATGTGAAGAATTCATCCATTTTCATATTTTTTAGCCTTGTATCAATAACTTTTTTATCTAGTGAGGAGGTGTAGATGTGTAAAGCTTATCCATGCATAAAAACCAGATATTTAAGTTTGATTTTGCTATGAAAGAGAATGTCTCAAACCCCACGTTTCATTACATCATGGTATGTTTAATTAATAATGAAAATGAAAAGAATACGTTGGAAAGTGATTTTATTTAACATCTATGTCGCAATCGTGATGTCTTCCTCCACGTGCCTGTGCTATGTTCGGTAACAGAAGTCTTCATTCTCATTTTCGTCTTACAAGAGGGGATATATTAATCACTGAAAGTTTCGTCAAATATAGATTATGTATTCAATGAGACTGTGGTGAGAGAAAGCTATTAGGAGTGTGCATAATTGATACAAAAATATCTATGTAATATTACACTAAATATGAGAAAATTAGAGTTCTAGAATGTCATGGATCAATGGAAGTAGCTTCATATATCATGCTGACCCAGTCTTAGATTAATGCTCTTAAAACCAGCATGGTGGTTAGGGTTGGTAATTGAGTCCGACAAATCAAATTTAGTATATAATCAAATGCTACCATTTAGATTTGATTGGAACATGTTTGATTTGGACGATGAATAGCACTTGATTTTGACGAAGTTGTCACTGTTGCGCGTTACCGTGTTCCAGATTCTCTGCTGCTATTGAATTCTGTCGTTCCAACGAACCTTCCACATGTTTAAATCTCTTATTTTTCTATAAATACTTTGATGTAAATAATTAAAATAATGTAATTATTATTTATTTGATAATTCAAATAGTAAAATTTGAATATTTCAAGATAAAGCAGGATTTTTATACAATACATTTTTACATGTTCTTATTCTAGTTCATTAGCTTTTGATAGTTTTTATTTTTTTTATGCATATTAGCTAAAGTTTGAACTTCAACTTCAGTGATCAAGATAAAAAAATAATTAATATATGCAGAAAGTTAGTGTATCAAAACTATAATATTTTCATGAAAAATACTATGACTATATTAAATTAAAAGAATTATGAGAAAAAAAAATATCAGGAACCTAATTAAATACTGGTAGTATAAATGATTTTCAAACTTTCATCTAATAGATATTAATTATGTAATCACCACTTTAGAGTTTTATCCATAATTTTTTTAACTTGTTTACAACGCACAATATTTTGAAAGTCATAGTCATGCTTTAAAAGTCACTGTATAGTTTTTGTCTTCATCGAATAGAAATAACGTGTTGTATGTAACATTAAATAAAACAATTTTCTTTCTTAGTTTATATAAAATATTACAACTTTTGCCAAGAGTTAAATCGAGTTCAAAATTCTTATACAAGGTCTCATATTTAAATCGGAAAAAATGTAATCATGAAAAATTATAATAAAAGGTGATTAATTGTATTTTTTTTTCAGAAACTAATTATCAATACATTTAATGTGAGATAAAAAGTTTTAAAAAAAAAGATAAAAATCTTTAACAGATACCTAATCTCTCCAGTAAAACTTAGAACATTAGTAAGCTATGTAAACCATGTAACTTATGTGAAAAGCCGTATTTGCCTTCAATCATAAAATGAATTAAAAGAAAAAACTTATATCTTCTGATACTTATTCAGTAAGTCTTATGATGTTTTTGCTGAGCAACAATTCGTGAAGATTAATCTTCCTTCAACCTATTGTTCATCTACCTCATTCGTTAGTTCTTATCACAGGTTGCTCTGTTGCTTAAAATATTCAGTATGGTATATAATAATTTTCCCTCATGCATTTCTTAGCTATATAGTGTGCAAGGCCAATTTATTCAGAAGTCCTTCCAATGCACAAGGATTATTGCGCCCGATGTTATTTTAATATATCATTTGGTCCCTATTTGTAGGGGTTTAGTTCAAAATAATCCTACCTCTTAAAAAAGTTCAACAAGATCCCATATTTTGTTAACAAATGTTCAATGGTTTTTTTCGCTCACGCCGTTAAAAACATAAGCACGTGACACACGTTAATAGGTGGACTTAAATGATTTTTTAATTTAAAAAAAAAAGTCCCTGCCACTTCATCATCACCATCTCCAGACAAATCCTAATTTCTCTCCAAGAAACCCTAGCCGTCGCATCATCCAGCATCGTCACCGCCATCTTCGCCGGCAGCCAAGGTGGTAGAGGAAGAGGAGAACGAAGAAATGAGCAAGTCGGCCAACAAAACTAGCGTGGCCGAGGTCAGGCCCGAGGTGGTCGAGGTCAGACTCGGGGTGGTCGAACAAACACAAACAACATTGAATGCTATAATTGTGGAAGGTATGGACATGCTGCCAAGGATTGCTACTCGGTAAAATGCTACAAATGTGAAAAAATGGGTCATATTTCCAAGGATTGTAGGTCATAGAAGGAAAAAGAGGAGCCAACAAACTTCCTTCCCGAGAAAGAAGAAGAAGGATTGCTGCTAGTGACAAACATTCCAGAAATCGAGGTCAAACCGAGCTATTCTAATAACTCGGTTTGGTACTTGGACACCGGCACAAGTAACCATATGTGTGGCGACGATAGTTTATTCAAAGTACTTTCAAAGGAGGAGTCCGGATTCGTTTCTTTCGGTGATGCTTCGAAAGTAACCGTCAAAGGTCGAGGAACGATATGGTATCAACAGAAAAATGGGCGAATCGGAGAGATCAGAGATGTATACTACGTACCCGATCTCAAAAGCAATATATTGAGCATGTGACAGATAATGGAGAAGGGGTACTCGGTTCTGATGAAGGACCTATAATTACAACTGAGGGATAAACTCGGGAGGCTCATCGCCCAAGTAGAAATGAAGAAAAATCGCATGTACAAACTTGAGTTGAAAATAGTTCAAGATAAATGCATGCAACTTGATATGGGGGATGAAGCCATGAAGTGGCATTTGCGGTTCGATCATCTTCACTTCAGAGGTTTGACCGAGCTGGTGAAGAAGGAGATTGTGCTTAGACTGCCTAAAATGGAATTCGAAAAGAGGTTCTGTGAAGAATGTGTGATTGGAAAGCAAGCGAGGACTTCTTTCCCACGGAGCTCTGAGTACCGAGCAAAAAGGAGTAGCTCGAACTGATCCATACTTGACTTGTGTGGGCCAATAACTCCAGAATCATTTTGGTAGGAGATACTTCGTCTCTTTCATGATTTAGTTCTCAAGGAAGACGGGTCCACTTTTTGAAGGAGAAGTCCAGAATGTTTGAAACTTTCAAGATAATCAAAGTGATGGAAGCAAGAAACACACAAAGTCATCAAACAGTTCGATCTAACAAGAGGAGGCGATTCACTTCTGTCCGAGTTCAACGAATACTGTGAGGAACATGGAATCAGCGTTTCTTTGACGGCTCCATACACTACAAGAAATATTACATTTACATTACAATATTTATATACGGATGTAATCTGGTAATAATTCAACATATTACATTACGATTTTATTACGGATTTTAGAAAAATCTTTATTTAAAAAAAATAAAGTTTCAGACTTCTTTCCTCGAACGTCTTTTCCTTAACCTTCTTCACTTTTCTCTCATTCTCTAAGCTTCTTCCCCCTTACTCCTCTTCATGTTCTTCTCCTTCAATAAGACGTGACTTCTTGGGCCCTCCTTCAGCTTTTTCTTCGTTTCACATCGGTGCTGCGTGTGGCTTTTGCAACCATCGAACGTTTGTCCGCCGATCAGTCGATCTAACTCTCTAGTTAGGGCTCCAACCTCTTTTCACCATTTTCTTCATTAATTTCACACAAACCGATAATCCTCTTTTCTATCGATTAAAAGCTTCCAATTTCCACCGATTGATTCCTTCGTTTAAGGTTCCTTCGTCAACCTAGGGTTTTAGGGTTCTTCGCGTACGAATCCTCTCCGTGTTTTGGAGTATTCCATCTGGATTCTCATGGTTGGAAGAAATTGCACACTAAATGCTATTCAGGAGAAGCACACTGAAAGATGCGTTGTCCGAGCTGGAGCCATGCTTTCTTGCCGTAACTGCAGTATCACTGGTTGGGTCCTTTTACTTCTTGGTTTGAGAGTATAGCATACGTAATGCTAGTTAAAGTTTGAAGAGAACGTGTTTTAACTTGTTCTTAAACTAAACGTTAGAAGCAATCAATAATCACAATTATTTATCTTTCCTTCCTATATTCATCACAGGGGATAAGAGCTATCGAAGGGTTTCTCCTGAAACTGTCTTCCAGCATTAGAGATTGCTGGAAGCTCGTTCTTTCAAGAAAATGAATAGCTAGATCCTAAGACTCTACAAACTTGAATCATGTACAACTTAGTGTGTATATTAATGGGTCATTTCAAGCAATTGGTGATTGGGTGCTGTCAGAGGATATTCTAATACCATATTCTCTTGTAAGTAGTGAACATTGGTTGCCTGTTTGCATCAATGGTTAATGGGGTCTGATACTTTGGGTTTGCTTCTTGTTTGCAATCAATGCTTAATGTCCTGTTCAGTTTTTTATTATAACCACTTATTAGTTATGATTGCATTAATGTTG